TTTGAGAAGGTATTGTATAGGCTAATCTAATTATAATTGAGAAAATATATTTCTCAAGAATATACATACTTGCCCTGGAGTAGTCTTATAATCAAATCGATCTGAGGCTAAACAGTAACACATGACAGCCAGTCCTGTTTGGGTATCACCAGGAAATGTCGCACAAAAATATATCAAAGAGATTCAATCGTGTGTCATAGTCAGGGGTTAAAGTGGGTTGTGTTTTCTGTTTTATAAGTTGGTTTTTTTTGGGGGGGGGGGCACTCAAACGACTACAGGTGTCCATAAGCTGTGGTTGCTGTACTTTAGTATCTAGCTAGCACTACAAAAGAACATAAAGGGGAACAACATTTTTTAAGTGGCAGGTAATTTCAAATATGGCGCGTCTATCAGCTCAACAAAGATTAGCAAACACACAAATTGTTTGTGTGCAGTTTGATGCACAACATTTTGCTAGCTAAAGGTCCAGCTGGAGGCCGCATTTGTAGGCCGATTATATCACAGCCAGGCGACGAAGGCTGATCCCAATTCGAAGGCTGCTCCAAATGCAGCCGACAAATGCGTCCTTTATTTCCCCAGATATGAAGGATGGGTCAGGTGTATCCTTCATGTCCCAAACTATCCCAGAATTTATGGCGCTACTAAGTTTTAATATTACTCTTTCTAGGTCCCAAAATCAACTTTTAAGATATTTTCAGGCAAGAATGTAGCTGTGTAAACTTCAAATATCTGCTCGATTTATCAAGACATCACATATTTGCAAAAGTGCGCTGACATTTTCGGAGATGCCTGTTACCCACCAGCTCGATAACTGACTGGGAGGTCAAGACTCACTAGAGCCAGCAAGAACACTGGACTCCTGGCACACTGTTTTCAGACCCCTGCGGTCTTTCGCTACTCAGGTTAAACATGATATATAAGTCACTTAGACAACTTAAAAATGTTATTGTAAGGCTTTTTTATTTGTTTCTGAGTAAATTGGTTTGACTGAGATTTAAGTTTTCACACAGCTGAATAAACGTCAAACAGAAAACTGCTTAAACAGAAGTGTGAGATGGCTGAGAATTTACTCCAACGTCCTGTTATACTTTAGATAACAAGGAGAAGATGGCTGAGTTTATTAAACTTCACCGAGACAGCTGGTGACGCAAATCTGAAGGCTAAACCATCCCATTTCACAGCCTCGCACTCCCAGCCTTATCGGTCTTCGAAGGACCCGGGCCTGCGTAGACCGCAAGGGCCAGGTCATTCGAAGGATGCGGCTTAGGAATTGGGAAACAGCTATTGGGTCTGTACATACGACATTATGTTTTTTCATGTTTTTTCATATTGGACAACAATCTGCAAATTTAATTAAAATTTAATAAATTATCATCTTGTCTTTATTTTTAGTTAGCACAAACCTTAAACACTTCAAGCTGTAAGATAATGATAGTTATATAAGAGCAGATGCTGCTGGTGCAATAAGCTGTACGTTTTACGTCCAATGGATGATGATCTGATTAGTCGACTAATCGCAAAAATAATCGGTGACTAGTCGACTATCAAAATAATCGTTTGTGGCAGCCCTAACTATTAGTGCAGAGAATGTAAGTTAGCCAGGACCACTCGTGAAACATCTTCTTACATCTGGTTGAATTCAAGTGTATAAATCTGCAAAGAGCAGTTCAGCAGATCACAGTCTCTTCATTAAGAAAATCTATTGGAGCTCTCAACAGAAATTATTGTGAGCTGTGCTTCTTTGCCCCACACTGAACCATCAAAACTGATTTTAGGGTTCCCCCACCCACTGAATCCCACTGTAACCCCTGACTGTACTCATTTCCTGAGTACAAAGAAGGAAAATAGAGCTTGTCTTTTTCTCTGCTCATGTTCTACATAAATAATTCAACCTGACTAAATTATTTGAATTCAAATTCAGACTGAAATAAAGTCTTTATTCCCTGATATAATTTTATTATTACATTAATACATTAATATAGCACAAGGTTCAGTTAGCTTTGCACAGTTGTCCTTCAAAGAGCTACTTTTTACTTCCTTACTTGGAGTACATTTCAGAGCCTGTACTTTTTCACTTTTACTTGAGTAAAGAATTTGAATCACTACTTCAAGTAGCTGTACTTCTACTTAAGTACAGAATGTCTGTACTTTTGCCACCTCTGCAGGACACTCACACGACAAAGAAAGGCCTACATTGCCCATCAACAAAACAGTGAAGCAACGGGTTGCAATCAGCTATCAGCACACGCGGCTACAATTAGTGGCTTCTTAGCTAACTATTTTGGACTCAATCTATGAGACATTACAGTGAGCAGAGTGCAACATAAAAATGATTAGACTTTTGAAAAACTTCTCTAACATGACAAAATATATTTTGATTGTGCTTTACATTTGGAAAAGCCTTTTTTTGTTTCACAATTTTTTCTTTTTTTCCCTACACCAAACACGCAAAAATGAAATAATAATATTCAACATACTCAACCATTGCAACAACATTCATCTACATTACAGCTTTCATTCACAAATCTATTGCATTTCACCATGAAGAAAGCACAAGAAAGATGTGTTTTCTTTTTATCACCCTATAACCAGACAAGAACACCATTATTGGTTGCTTCTGCAAAACACACTTTTCAAACTTTATGTCACAAAGCCAGAATTCAGAGATTAGGAAAAGAGCTTGATCATGAAAAATAAACAATCAATTGAAATAATGATAGGGTTACGCAACTAAACATAAAGATTAGGCTATCATAACAGTAAATGCCACCCACACAACACTACAACAACCTTCACACCTTTACTTCCTCCAGTGGGGAATTTTGTCACTGGATGTACAGCTTCAGCTGAAAATGTATTCAATGAGTATTCAATGAGATCAATCTCTGGAAAATCGGCCATTTTTATTCTGGAGTAAATTTCCATCTGTCTACATTCCCCAATCACAATATCACCAGACGTGAGTGTGTGTTTGTGTGAAAAGACATCAATCTGTCTCAAGGACTAGAAAGAGACAAGTCTCACAGCTACACAGTTAAATCTGTATTTAACAAGTCATAGGCAGTTGTAAAAAACAAACCATCAGTAATATTCTGGGTCAAAATGAAGCTGATTGTGGCAACAGTAATTAGATATCTGAAACAGAGTTGGTTAAACAAACTGTTTGTTTAACCGTAGTTACTTTACCGTAGTTTACCAATGAACAACAATGCAAAAATGCAAAGAATGACAGACTCCCAATGGAAGTCAGTCTCATAGATTGCGCACAAAATATGGACAAATCTACTGTGACTTTACACAACTCTGCATTTTGAATTTTTGATGTTAGAATTTCAGCTGCTGTCACAAGTGGCCATGTTTGGATAAGATGGTAAATTTTTCAGTTAGCAGCTAATGCTAACAAGGTTGATTTGCCTAGTACAGGTGCACCTCACAGGCAGATACTAATTAGTAAAAGACTAAATAAATACTAGAACTTCACTCAACAAAACTGAGAAAACAACACTCAAAGAAAGGTGGTGGTTTTGAGACTATAATATGATTATTAAACAGAATTTAGCCTACAGAAAAAAAGAGAGAGTATTTCAAATCTTGGCATTCGGTGGGAAGAAATGAACTAAGGCACTTGGTATAGACATCTCCTGTCTGTAAAGCATTTTAAAACGTAGCTGTCTTAATTTGACTCACTCTGTAGCTAATCTATACTATTGTTTTGATTTCCCAGGTCTGGTGATTTTTTTGATTTTTTCTGTACCAAGCAATGTATTTTCAGCATTGCTTACAAGTGTTTAATTTTAAAAATTGGCTAATTAAAATTTGCTAAAAAAAACAATTAGCTATCTAGCCTAAAAACAAGCTGTGAGCAAGCTATCGGAGTTCAGCTTTACTTTAAGGTCAGCATTTAACCTGCCAGAGGATCTTTTGGATGCTGGTAATTGAACAGAACAACTACTGTACATGTGACTGGTGCTCAAGACAGAGCTGCCTCGAATCTGAAAACAAACTCAGGTGTCTGGTGTCTGTTCCCCTCTTATCACCGTGGTCTTTTTAGGACAAGTCCAGCATGACCCGAAATATTTTGCTCATTATCCAAAAAGTACGTGGACTGTCTGATTCTCTGCAATCTATAGACAGATTCCTGCATTATTGTTCTATTGCACTTGAAGTCTGTAGCAGTCCCATGATTACGATATGAAGGATATAGAGAAGAAGAAGTAAAGCACATATTCCTCGTCTTGATTACTTGTTGTTTGATTAGGCATTTCTTAATTTAACTAGTCTGTTTGTGTGTTAACTTTAGATCATATTTTAGTAAGGCAAACACTGATTGAATTAACTAATTGTGATAAAAAAAATATACTCATCAGTATAAGAATAAAGGTTTTGAGATAAGTTTGAAGAAGGTGGATGGATTGATGGATGGATGGACAGATGGACATAGAGATGGATGGGACAGCTGGATGTTCCAAAAATGGTCTGCCTCAACATGCTCTTTCATGTCTACAAACAGAAAATATTAGTGTCCAATTTCTAAATTCAAGTTTCAAGTTCTTCTTGCTTAATTTATCCAGCAGTTTGTGTTTCTCAGCACCACCACAGTCTGACTTAGTGGCCATTGAATGCCCAAGGGCACCTTTACACTTGTAACAAGTGTTTCCATTCCAACATGTGTTTTTTTTCCTGCACAACCAACTTATAAATTGGCACCATTTTAAAGACTCTTAAAGTAAATTGTAAATCATCATCACTGATAAAGAGGGAAGAATATAAATTTGCAAAACCTCTGATCATGCTGGATTTGTCTTTTAAGTTGTATGTTGGCAGGCAGATAAATGAGCCGGAGCGTGCACTGTGCCTCGATATGTCAGTGTCTGAGCAGTCAGAATCACATACTGACATCAAAGAATAAACCTCTTTTGCAGTCGTCAAGTCCGCTCATTTGTCCGCAAACATGCCATCAAAGAACTAAACTTGTGTTATTGGCTGGCTGGGTCTCTTACCGGTCTCTGAGGTCCAGTGGGCTCAGACTCTCTCCGGCGAGGACGTCCTGATGGCAGAGAATGACAGGGCGACTGTGCTGGGCTACCACCACTTTTCCTTGATGCCTCCTCCTCTGTTAGCGTTAGCATCCCCCGGCTGCTCTCCCGCGTGTGAGTCTTTGGACGAACTACTGGCTCCGCTCCTGCAAAGGAAACCAAAGACAATTCTGCAGTCAAAACCTCCTTGTGTTTACTTTAGTCACTAACAGGCTGCCACAGTCACTTGCAGTTTGCAAGATGCCAATTTGTCTGCAAACATTCACTGAACCATTGAGCGGTAGTGAAAAAGTGTGATGCAAACCAGAAACAGAGAACATTCAATTTCAAAGTAAAAGTTGTGCCTTAAGTTTAAAACGTTTGCTTTGAAGGCAAATGGTCTCAGTTTCTAGTTTGCTTTTATATAATTATGCTTTAATGTGTTTTAAAAAAATTAGTTAAAACATCTAGCTATTTAATTTAACTTGAGATTATTGTGCAACCACTGCAAAACTGTCCAGTGTCTTTAAAAAAAGATAACATTAGCGAGCAGTTGAGCAATTTAAGGGTAGCCAGTTAGTCGTAACTTTGTTACAGCAAATGATTCTTCGAGTTATTAATAATAATAATGGATTGCATTTATATAGCGCTTTTCGGGACCCCTCAAAGCGCTTGGCCCTGGAAGAAGAGGAGCAGGCCAACGAGGAAGAGGAGTTCAAATGAGAGGAGGAAGAGGAGCAGGCCAACGAGGAAGAGGAGTTCAAATGAGAGGAGGAAGAGGAGCAGGCCAACGAGGAAGAGGAGTTGAAATGAGAGGAGGAAGAGGCAATGAGGAAGAGGAGTTCAAATGAAAGGAGGAAGAGGAGCAGGCCAACAAGGAAGAGGAGTTCAAATGAGAGGAGGAAGAGGAGCAGGCCAACGAGGAAGAGGAGGAGGCCAACATGGGAGAGGAGAAGGTCCAGGAGGGAGAGCAAGACAACCTCGCACCATCATTACGGACGAGATGCGAGCAACAGTCATTGACCATGGCATGATAATGGCTGAAGCAGGACTAAGAGTCCGTCCAAACCTGAGTAGGTTCACCGTGGCCACCATTATCAGGGCATTCAGACAACACAACAGGTATTGTACTCGATTGCTTTCTTTGTCACAATACAGTTTTACAAACCTGTGAAAGTAGTCTATTGGTTTCAAATCAGTTGTGACTGTATTGTAACACATGTCAATTGACAACACATGTTTCTTTCTTTAGAGTTGAAAGAATGCCACATAGAGGTGGGAGGGTTGCCATATTTACAGCGGCACAAGAAACCCTCATTGTGGATATGGTTCGTGGGAACAACCTCATCAGACTCCGGGAGATCAGAGACAAAGTCATTGCCGATAATGTCAACTTTGAGAGCATTGACGATGTCAGCTTGGCCACAATAGACCGAGTTCTCCGGCGCAAAAAGACGCGGATGAAACAGGTCTATAGGGTTCCCTTTGAGCGCAACTCTGCGCGACACAAAGACCTACGTTACGAGTATGTGCAAGTAAGTATACATCCATGTTCACAGTACAGTTAGTGGACATATACTGTGTTGCTCAGTGGCCTACATTACTTCTGGACAATACTGTGCTACCTGATTGACTGTTGTTCTGAACACCTGTGCACTTTCACATTTTCACAGAGGATATTACAGTTGGACGCGATGGCCAGACCTCATGAGTACCTCTTCCTGGATGAGGCTGGCTTCAACCTGCAGAAACGAAGGCAAAGAGGCCGTAACATCATTGGCCAAAGAGCCATCACTGAGGTCCCTGGCCAACGGGGGGGGGGGGTGCCATGGGTTCGGAGGGGCTTGTCCACCGGCATGCTGTCCTTGGGTCTTACAACACCCAACGTCTCCTCACCTTCCTAGAGGAGCTAAAAGACATCCTCCTGGACCGCCAACAACACCATCCTGGGCCCGCACATCACATTTATGTGATCATTTGGGACAATGTCCGCTTCCACAGAACAAACCAAATCAGAGAGTGGTTCACCACCAACAGTGACCACTTTTTAATGTCTACAATGTTTAAAATGTTAACATTTTTGAAAGCTTCAAGCTGCTCTTTTGGTGTGAAGTTTGAGTTTTGCAGTGGGAAGGTGTGGTTGTGTTTATGTAGCTTTAGAGAAGGGTGTTGTGTTTGGACATTGGGGGACCTGGTGGAAACGTTTGTGAAATGTGTTTTAGCATTTGAGAGAAACTGTAATACAATATTTCCCCAAAAGGAATGACTCTGACTTTCAGGGTGGTATTATGTCACAGACAAAAACCCAATTAGATGTTTCATAATTTCCATCAAAACACTTGTTTTAATTGTTGAATTCCCTCATTCTGCCTCTATTTGATAGATTTAGCACTTTATTTAGTCTGATTTTCATTTTTGTTTTCCTAATAATTCACTAGGTTATTTTTTTTTATTAATGACTGTTGATAAAATGGAGACTTGCTTCCAATCCACTTAGAATTCACCACTTTTAAAGAGACCTATTTTGTCAATAGAACAGGGCTCCTATCCTATCAGCTCCTAGGTAACAACCAAACTTATGGAAGATGGCACCAAAGCTAAGGTTTCAGATTAACACTAGCACTGAAACATTTCAAATAGTGCCCTGCCCTGATGAACCAACCATTTTTTTTATATTTATCCTGTTCATTTCAGTTTTATGACTAAAAAGCTTCTTTTTATCTCCTACCTCCAGCCCTGAGTCGCCTCCTCTCCTCCTGTTCCTCCAGAGGGCGTAGCTCCTCAGGCTCCTCGTCAGTAGTTCCTGACGTGGTTGGAAGAAAGTCTCGCAGCTCTGCCTCTTTGTCAATGATCACCCACTCTTTGCTATCAAAGTCTTCCTCCTCTGCCAGCGGTACAGAACGAATAAAGGCGTTGCTGTGGGCCTCCTGGTCAACGGATGCCACGGACACTTCCTGACGGCCACTGACCTGACGATCTCCACGGCAGCCGGGGTCAACAGACAGCATCTGAGCCGGCTGGGAGGAGTAGACGTGACGAGATGGAGAACCGAGGATGTCCATCCTAGACCTGGTGGACACACAAACAAATGTGTACAAAATAGAAGGATATGGGACTATGACTCTTCTACAGCTTAACAACCTGGTAAAAATACTTTTTCAACTTTTTGTTTCATTATTCAGTTCAATTTAAAGCTCAGGTTTAAACTTCTTAAGGGTAAAGCGAAGTCAATTTTAAATATAGCCCAGACTAGTTGTTTTTTCAAAGGAAATCTTAAGTCTCGGTTCACCACCGATCCATATCATATAAAACATATGATATACAGAATGTGAAGTCCATTACAAACCTCGGTCAGTTCAGACACGTCCAAGTCAAGTCATGGTAACAGAAACATTGAAGCCAAGTTTCACATTAAAAAGATTCGGTCTTTGGAGTGTATCCAAATGAATTCTCAACAATCAAAATCAAGCAAAATCTCAGAGCCAAATCCAAGTCATTCAAATCTAGTTGAACCTCTTTTGTACATTTCTGATTTATGTGGATTCAAAAAGTTGAGATCAAATTCTTTTAAAGCAAAGGCCTCATAATTAATTAATTCTAATCTTTGGTGTGATTTTATTTTTCAATAGGCAGGTTGAGTTTGGCTTATGTTTATTTTTTAAACTGGAAAATGTTTTCATATTTGTTGTTTGTTACCAAAAGTAACATGAAATGCTGTCTCTTCGCCTAAAACCACCTTTGTTGTTTTCTATACTTTACTGTCACCTCTGTCCATAGGCGTCAGCCCGGCCCTCAGCTGCAGAAAGACGATCAGATTCTGGGCTGTTGACCCGCCGATATCGTAAGGACCGACCCTGTCCTGTTGGGGACTCGGGTCCTACACCTCGTACAGGAGACACTGGACAGGCCCCTCGAATTGCTTCCTCTTCCTGAGCCCCCTGAGGAATGATAAAAAAGTGAGCAACCATTTAAACACTCTGGAAGGCAACTCTAAAACGACTTCCTTAAGTCAACATTGTCTTGATGCATGGTCAATCATCCAGGTAAGGAAATGGGTGAGCGAGTTTGGATAAGTGACAAAATGTTTCTCCCACTGAAAATGCTACATCCAGATGAACAGAATCAACTTTCTGCAATTAAGTCAGCAGCATAAATAACAGCAACCCTAAGTCACTGATAGTGACTTGGCAGAAGGTTCATGTGAACCAAAATGTCTTAAGACTAAACAACTAACACATTTTAGAATAATCTAAAAGGCTATAATGACAAAAATATTTTTAGGCAATCCACTTTTTGTTTTTATCAACTAATAATTGGATAAAAATGTTGCTTATGTTTCTAATGAAAAAAGTCCATGTGAAATCTCAGGGATTTCCACAGGACTTCATGCAGTCCTATTAAAAAGTACACTCCCTGGTTCAGTAGCAGGTAGAACTACCTTTAGCAGCAATAACTCGAAGTAATTGTTTTCTCTATAGCTTAATCGGTCTCTCAAATTGTCCAGCCATACATCCATTTTCTTCTGCTACCCATGGGCAGCAATCTGAGCAGAAAAACCTAGACCCCCTCCTCTAGCTTATCCAGAGGTGAGGTGTTTCCAGGCAAGACGAGAGAGCTAACCTTGATTATTCACAGTCATTCTGCTGTAGATAATGATCCCAAGCTAGTGTGCTTGGGATCATTATCTGTTGTATGATCCCATTTGGACCAAGTTCAAAAAAAGCCCAAATCATCACCACTCTGCTTGACAGTCAGTGTTTGTACTGACATGCTGTGTTATGGCCCAACCTCCACTTTGGTCATGTCTATCCAATGGACAATGTTCTAGAAGGCTTGTGGTTTGACACAGTTTAGCAAATATAAACTGTGCTACCATTTTTATTTTTCAAGGTTTTCCCCTCCTGTAAATTCTTCCAAACAAGCCACATTTTAAGTTTCCTAATTGTAGTGCCTCCTTTAGCATGCTAACTAAGGCCTCTAGAGTCTGATTCTGGGGTCGATTTAATGGGACTGTGGCATTACCAAAACCTATAACTGATGGTTCAGACCTTGGTTAGGCTGATCCTGAGTCTATTGCGGTTAAAGTCTGTGTCATCCCAGCCTTCTCCAGTCTCTCCAGGATGCTGGACACCGGTTTCCCCAGGGGGTCGGCTCGGTGGAGGTGGAGGAGCATTTTCCTGATCACTGAGATGCTCGTCTTGAACATCGGTGTTCTCCCTCTGTAGGTCTCCAGGAACTGGAGTCACAATGGCTCTATGGACACAGAATATAGCAAATCTTTACATAGATGCTGTTATTTCAGAAATACTTTTGCAATTTACAAAACTTTTTTGTTATGGTATATTAACCAAATTCTTTCTAATACAGTCTGCATAGCTTTACAAATCAAAGAAAAATGGCAAGTGGCTGTTAGAGAAACTTCCCTTTTTGGCACTTCTATTTCAGACTTATTTTACAGGAGGTTGCAGCTTGTTCTTACCCCACCATGGCTGCAGTAGGTCGGGTGTTGTGCTGTGGTTGGGTGGAGGCACTGGTTGACAGCGTGACATCACTTCCTCCCTTTTCCCAATCAAAGGGTTCATTCTCTGTAATGATTCGCTCCTTCATACTGTTCTCAAACACTGACATCAGCAGCTGGAAAAAATACACAAATTTATGAATGTGAATCAAAGTCTTAATATTAGACTGCTCCTCTGAACTTTTATTACTTTTATTACCTGGTAATCTGGTTTAGTGTAGTAGTCCAGGGCCAGGACATGGTCCAGAAAGATTTTAAACTCTGAAGGCATGTGTTTGAGCAGCAGCTGATGGTCATAACGCTCTTTAATTTGACCAACTTGTTCCTAAACAGAAAAAAAGACAACAATATATATACATATATACATCCATCCATCTTCATCCGCTTTATCCGAGGCCAGGTCGCGGGGGCAGCAGCCTAAGCAGAGAGGCCCAGACCTCCCTCTCCCCAGGCACCTCCTCCAGCTTATCCGGGTGAACACCAAGGCGTTCCCAGGCCAGCCGAGAGATATAATCTCTCCAGCGTGTCCTGGGTCTCCCCCGGGGCCTCCTCCCGGTGAGACATGGTAAAAATAAATGGTAAATGGCCTGTATTTATATAGCACTTTACTAGTCCCTAAGGACCCCAAAGCGCTTTACATATCCAGTCATCCACCCATTCACACACACATTCACACACTGGTGATGGAAGCTACATCAAGGTTCTCAAGGTTCTTTATTATTTGTCACATGCATAGTTATACAAGTATAACACACAGTGAAATGTAGCCTGACACGCTCCTCGACATGTGCGAAATGTGGGGGGGGGGTGTAGAGGAAGAACATTATATATATATATATATATGTAGTATATACATTGGGTGAATGTGCAGTAGTAGCAGCAAGCAGGTGAATTCTGTACATTAATATGAATAGATATCTGACTATTTTACAGGATAGACAATATAAACATATTTAAAATTAAAGGAATTGAAATGTACATTGTGCCTTGGTTTAGTGTCTGGAAGAGTCCTGTCTCAGTCAATTATAGATGATGTGAGAGGGCGGGTGTGTGTGTTTAGGGCCCGGATGGCTTGGGGATAGAAGCTCCTCTTGAGTCTCTCTGTCCTTGCCCGGAAGATGCGGAACCTTCTATCAGATTGCAGAAGTTAGAACAGTTTGTTGCCAGGATGGGACGGGTCCTTCAGTATCTGCGCTGCTCTAGTCCAGCATCTCCTGGTGTAGGTGTCCTGAAGCGGGGGGAGAGCAATCCTGCAGCAGCGTTCTGCTGTACGGATCACTCTCTGGAGAGCTTTTTGGTCCTTCACACAGCTGTTCCCGAACCACGATGTCATGTTCTGTGTGAGGATGCTCTCCACAGCGCCTGTATAGAAAATCTTGAGGATCTTTGGAGAGACCCTGAACTTCCTCAGTTGTCGTAGGTGATACAGGCGCTGCCTAGCCTTTTTGGTCTGGACCTGAATGTGGGCAGCCCATGTCAGGTCTGAGGAGATGTGGACACCAAGATACTTGAAGGACTGCACCCTCTCCACTGGAGCTCCATTGATGATAATGGGCTTGTAGTCTCTGTGCTGACCCCTTCTGAAGTCCACCACCAGCTCCTTGGTCTTGCTGACGTTCAGCTGGAGGTGGTTGTCCTGGCACCACGATGCCAGATTCTTCACTTCATCCATGTAGGCTGCCTCATCGTTGTTGGAGATGGCACCCAACACCACTGTGTCGTCAGCAAACTTCACAATGGTGTTGGAGCCATGGGTGGCCACACAGTCTGAAGTGTAGAGGGAGTAGAGCAGTGGCGAGAGGACACATCCCTGAGGTGCTCCTGTGTTGATGGTGATGCTGTTGATTGTAGCCACAGCCACCCTGGGGCGCCCTGACAGAGGCGAGGCTGCCGGACACTGGCGCCACCGGGCCCTCTGACCACCACCAGTAAGTAACGGGTGAAGTGTCTTGCCCAAGGACACAACGACCAAGACTGTCCAAGCCAGGGCTCGAACCGGCAACCTTCCGATTACAAGGCGAACTCCCAACTCTTGAGCCACGATCGCCCAGAACACCTTACCCAGGAGGCGCCCAGGAGGCATCCTTGTCAGATGCCCGAACCACCTCAGCTGGCTCCTTTCGATGTGGAGCAGCAGCGGCTCTACTCTGAGCCCCTCCCGGATGGCCGAACCCCCCACCCAATCTCTAAGGGAGAGGCCAGCCAAACTTTGGAGAAAGCTCATTTCTGCCGCTTGTACATATATATATACATTGATCAAAACAGATCAAATTCTGACTGCTTTTTGGATGTAAGGTCACAGACAGACGTTTTTAAAACATAGATGTATTTAAAGAAGCAGGACAAAACGTTAAATATGTTTAACACCTTGTATGATTCATGGAGGCACTACCAAAACAAGTAATAGTAACTAAGGTGGATACAAAGGCTATCTCATCTCATAAAAACTAGAAACAAGAAACCTTCTGACCTTATCCTTGATCTTTCTCCAAGGCAGCTGCCCAACAGCAAACTCCACCAGCATGTAAAACAATGACCAAAGGTCATCATGGCGACCCATTTCCTGGAGGAGCACAACAGAAAGACATTGTTAGCATAACATTCTAAACAGAATGTTCACATTCTGACTTGTGTCATTAAAATCGCTAATTAAGACGGTGTTGTGGGGTGACAGGTAATCTAATGGAATATTTATTGCATTAAGGTTAGGTGTTTCAGTATCAAATCAGACTAGCTTGAGTTGCATTTATCTTTCACAAGTATGAAGCAACTTTTGTAAACAAAATCTGCACATTGGCTGTGTGTTCAGGAGCATAATCATTAAAACTGCAAAAAGGCAAAATTCCTACAAAAATATAAATATAGAACAACGATGGCAATTTGATCTGTATATTTGTTATATTTGTTTATCAATAAAAAGGAGCAGAATGATCTGTCTCTTGCACTTGAACTGAGTGCTCTGGGCTAGGGAGTACCAAGGTCCTCTACCACAGTGTGTTCTTCAGTAGATGGTAGAGTGGTAACTTCTACCTCACAAATCCACGTTGCTTCTCCCAGCCTCTTGCACCATTTCTATGTACAAGAGGCTCACCACCAACTCTGCAGCCAACTCAGAGGTTATACTTTAAAGACAAACAAACAGTACTGACCTTGTTTTTGTGAGCATTGACTGAAGCGTAGCGGACGGTCCCTCTAAAACCTGCCACAGTTCTTGGCTAAAAAGAGGATGCAAAAAAGTCAGCAGTTGCAACAACAAGCATCCAGTTCACATCCAGTTACACTAATATGAAAAAGATTGGGAATCTCTCTTATTTTATTTTTTTTGAATTTGTGTTTATCATTGGGTGATTGGCTTCCTTTTAATATATGCCATTCCTTATGGAAAAAGTAGTGATTCAGCAATAACATAAAGTTTATTGGATTAACATACAATATGCATCATAACAAAATTAGACAGGTGCATAAATTTGGGCACCCCAATAGACATATATCATTACTTAGTTGAGCCTCCTTTTGCAAATCAAACAGCCTCTAGATGCCTCCTATAGCCTTTGATGAGTGTCTGGATTGTGGATGGAGGTATGTTTGACCATTTTTCTATACTAAATCTCTCCGTTAAATTGCCAAGCATGGACAGTCTGCTTCAAATCATCCCATAGATTTTTAATGATATTCAGGTCAGGGGACTGTGACCACCATTCAAGAACATTCTACTTCTGAACATCTTTCTACAGTTTGAACTGTGCTTCGGGTCATTGTCTTGTTGGAATATTCAACCCCAACTTCAACTTTGTGACTGCTGCTTGAACATTATCCTGAAGAACTGGGTTGAATTCATCCCACTCTCAGCTTTAATAAAGGCCTGAATTCATCACACAGGCTCACAGCATGATGGTACCTCTACCAAATTTGACAGTGGGTAGCAGGTGTTTTTCTTAGAAAGGGGTGCTCTTCTTCTGCCATGCAAAGCCTTTCGTCTCCTCAGTCCAAAGCACAATGAATCGGGTTTGAGCTTTTACATACAACAACTGACTCTGATGCGTGAGCGCAGAAAGGGCTTCTTACTCATCAATCTGCCATACAGATGTTCTCTGAGCAAATTGTGCTGCAGATGCACCATCTGTAGAAAGATCTTCTTCCAGGTCTTTTGGGGTGATCATTCTCACAATCCTCTGCCTATGCCGTTCCTGTGTTTTTCATGGCCTGCCAGAACTGGGTTTAGTTGAAATTGACAGTTTAAACCTCCGAGATAGGTTTTTGTAGCTATCCTCTGAACCATGATACTGAGCAATGTTTTCTTCTTTTGAGAGTTGCTTTGAGGATCCCATGCTGTCACTTTTCAAAGGAAAGTCAAAGAGAAGCACAACTTGCAATGGGCCGCCATAAATACCTTTTGTCATGATTGGACACAACTGTCTATGAAGTTTAAGGCCTAACCATCTAATCCAACCAATTTGGGTTGTAATCAAGCAGTTATTGAGCTTGATTAATAACTGCTTGCATGCATTCAAATCATCAAAATTACAAGGGTACACAAGGGTAAGTTTTGCAGATTTTCACATTTGATTTATTTTCAACATACCACTGTTATCTTTTTTGTTGAAAGGAGAATGAATTATTATGCAGGGTGAGAGGGATTCCCAAACTTTACCTGCTACAAACACTATTAACACCTTGACTGTATATTTTTAATTATTATTCATTAATTGTTTTATGAGGAAAACATTCTTCTTGTGATGAGAAAAGTTTCCTTGAGCTGTTGATTTTACTGGAAGTTGAACCTACTTATCTTCTCAGTTGGGTATGCTCTCTACTTCAATTTAACTCGGCACACATAACAGTAAATAATGCCAACATGGACTGGCTTGTTTTGACTATAAGACTAATCAAATATAATTTGTAGCTTGCTGCGGCTGAATCCAAACATAAAAAATGTTTTTAACACTGGACTTTGAAGTGCTGTATTTCAGCAGAGGGTGTGTGCATGCAAAAAAACAAATTCAGAAAGTGCTTTTACTGAACTACTGTGTAGACGTAAAGGCTAAATGGACAAAATAATAAATACGTACAAATAAGAGCATGTAAATAGTGTAAACAGACAATCAGTAATATCAGTTAAGAAGCCACTAGCCTAGCTATTTTACTGTGATTCAGCCTCTACAAACTATTTGTGTGTTATGTTTATATTGTTGTTGTTGTTATTCTTGTTGGTACATGTGGATTTCTGTTTACTTGAGGCACGTACTGCTCTTTCTGGCAAACTGAAATCTAGTGCCCAGCTGACTCACAGCAACATTGTGCTGGTCAGGCTTTAGCATACCCTATGTGTTGGCATGAAAATAAACTGTAAGTATTGTGACAAAATAAATCATTAAAAACATGTAACTTGTAAACAAAACGATCAAGTGGATATATAGCATCAAACATTCAACCCAGTGTCAACATAACTCTGTAGTACAGGAGCTTTAGAAAGAAACAGATGCAATCCTGTTTAACATCAATGTGATCTTTATACACGTGTTTCTGACATCAAAAGAAAAATAAGCAAAATAAGACACAAAGACACCAGCAGACGAACACACTGCATCAGAGAGATCTGCACACGCAAGTATCAATTTACATAATTCCACTTTAATATTATTCAAATTTGTTTTTTGGGCTGTTTTTTATGACCTATTCTTAATAGTAGTGTTAAAATCTGATTATGCATTTGGATATTATATGTAGATTGCGTAATGCCTTTATCTATGTATATATATATTTATATAAATATCTATATGAGATAAAAATACATTTTTAAAAAGACACAATTAACTTTTAATCATTTTTATGACTCAACTTTGAGTCTTTAGATTTACTTCAATTAATGAATTGCTTTATGTACTTTTCTATCTATACATTTATTGGACAGTTAGTCTAAAGGCAATTGCACACTGAATTTGTTGTGTAAAACAACATGAAATTCCAAATTTTACGGATCTTCCCATGTAACCCATACGTGCATATATGCGTGCGTAAAATTCATCCTCAAAAACAGACAGAAAAAAATGACGTTTAAATGAAGGGATAATGAACTGGTCCTGATGTTCCTAAATGAGAAAAGGAACAAACTGATATTCTGGGTTCATCCAGTTCCCACAAGAGGGCGGCTGCTAGAGAATATTATGGTTTGATCCCAGAATTGGAGCTGCATTTGTACATATTTCAGGATGTCAGTGAGGCAGTTTGAAGTCTTTTTAGCAGATTTGGGAACACAATTGTATCATTTTACTATTACCATATCCTTGTATACTCAGTAAAGGTGCAAGATTTGTGCTATTAGTGCACTTGTTGCCAAATACAGTGATCTTAGTCAGATCTATTCATTGGTATCCCAAAAAATTGGAAAAATCGATTTGGTTCGAAAAAATAAATGCCACAAATTTGTGTTGGTGGTGTTAATGAGTAAGAATACTTGACTTGGTGAGCCTGAAAAATATTCTTGACACATTCAATTTTTGAGATTTCAGACATCCGCTGTGAAAGGGCCTTTAGTCTCACCATAAAAAAGTACTTGCTTCTGCCACACAGAAGCAAGACACCTACTAGCCGATAACTTAATACTGTGACATGAAAAAGCAATTAATTAGAAGGATAACAGAAATAAATGCAAAATGCAGTTTCTAAATTAAGGTGTTTATTGTTAAGAGTAAAAAAAAATCCAAACCTACACTACAGGACGAAAGTTTAAGAACACACAAGTTTTTCCAATTTTTTATTGAAAACTATGCAGTGTTTTGGCCCGTTCCACTCTGAAATGAAAGCATAGTACAAATAAGCAATTGGAGTTTTAAGTAATCATGGAATCAATTTATAGACCAAAATATATTCTAAACTTTGACTCATCAAAGCAGCCACCTTTGGCAGCTATAACAGCTGAACACACCCGTGGCATTCTTTTTACAATAGAAATCAAATATTCTTCAGAAAGTTGTTCCCATATCTGTTGCAGAAGTTCCCATAAATGTGGACCTTGTCTGTTGCTTGGCTTTCACTCTTCCGTCCAGTTCATCCCAAACCAGCTCGATTGGGTTCAAGTCTGGAGACTGTGCTGCCACTTCATGTTTTCAAGCTCACCATCATGTTATTTCTTCCCGAGGTAGTTCTGGTATAGCTTGGACTTATGTTTTGGGTCATTATCTTGCTGTAGGATGAACCCCTGACCAACTAGGTGCATACCAGAGGGTACTGCATGGCGCTGCAGAATGCTGTGGTAGCTGTTTTGGTTCAGGGTGCCTTTCACTTTGTACAAGTCACTGACCCTGGATCCAGCAAAACAGCCCCAGATCATCACACTTCCTCCTTCCTTCATTTGGCAGTTGATGCCACACACTGTGGAACCATCCTCACGCTTACTCGACGGTGTACAAAGATCCTGAATGATGAATCAAAGATTTCAAATTTTGATTCATCCCTCCATAATACAGTCTTCAGTAGTCCATTGGCGGTGTCCAGGCATGTCCCTTTGTTTTATTCTCACGTCTTACGGCTCTCTTGCTGCAACTCATCCTGTCAAACCTGCAGCTTGAAGTCTTATTTTCACAGTTGAAACTGAGACTTGCTTATACGACCACTATTAAGCTGTGCTCAAAGCTGTTGTCCTGCGAGCCACCTATCAAGCAAGCTGTCCTCAGTCAGTTGTGTCTTTGGGTCTGTCAGACCTCTTGCTGTCAGTTTGTTTCTGAGTGCCTTTGGATGATGAAGGAAACTGTACTCACTGACACCTTGACTTTATTTGCAATTTCTCTGTAGAAAAGACATACTCTTTTAAGTGCTATGATGGCCTGTCTCTCTTCCATTGTTAATTTTCTTTTTCTTGCCATCTTTGTGGCAACACACTACTTTTTGCCGTACAATATTGTTCAACTAAAGCTCACAAGGATATGGTACCACAGTGTGTTCCACCACTGCTTTTATACAGACAGAGGGGGTTGTAAGTAATCTAGAAAAATTACAACACCTGTAGGAATTAGTAGCACCAGCTTTTAAGGCTTGATCAACCTCCATTGCTGCGGAACAGCTTTAAATTGTTAACCCATTTTGTGTTCCCTGAAAAGGGCCTTTTTGTATAATTCTGAAATGTCAGAATAAAAATCTATATCACATCTTTGGAAAGCTAAGTTGAGTTGTTCTAGACATACTGAGCCCTGATTACTGCCACACCTGTTCTCAATCAAGAAATCAATTTAAAAAGGACCTGCCTGACAAAGTGGAGTAGACCAAAAGCTCCCCAAAAGCCAGACATCATGCCACAATCCAAAAAAATTCAGGAACAAATGAGAAACAAAGTAACTGAGAGCTCTCAGCCCAGAAAAGGTTTTAAAGCCATTTCTAAAGCTGTGGGACTCCAACCAAACACAGTCAGGGCCATTATCCACAAATGGCAAAAACACGGACCAGTGGTGAACCTTCCCAGGAGTATACAGCCAACCAAAATGACCCCAGAAGCGCAGTGACAACTCATCCAAGAGGTCACAAAAGATCCCAGAACAACATCCAAAGAACTACAGGCCTCGCTTGCCTCAGTTAAGGTCAGCATCCATGACTCCACCATAAGAAAGACACTGGGCAGAAATGGCCTTTGTGGCCATTTGAGTTCCAAGACGAAAACCACTGCTAAGCAAAAGGAACACAACGGCTTGTCTCAGTTTTGCCAGAAAACATGTTGATGATCCCTAAGACTTTTGGGAATATACTCTGTGGACTGATATGACAAATATCTGGCATAAAAGTAATGCAGCATTTCAGAAAAGGAACATCATACCGATAGTAAAATATGGTGGTGATGGTCTGAGGATGTTTTGCTTCCTCAGGATCTGGAAGACTTGCTGTGATAAATGGAAACATTAATTCTGCTGTCTACTAAAATATCCTGAAGGGCAATGTCTGGTCATCTGTTTGTAACCTCAAGGTGAAGCGCACTTGGGTTCTGCAGCAGGACAATGATCAGCCAAAACACAAAAGCTTAAGAAAAACAAAATGAAGACTAGTCATGACCTCCAGGTAAGATGCTGTGGCATGACCTTAAAAAGGTGTTTCATAGTCGAAAACCCTCCAGTGTGGCTGGAATACAACAGTTGTGCAACGATGAGTGGGACAGAATTCCTCCACAGTGCTGTAAAAGACTTGATGCCAGTTATCACAATTACTCGTTGCAGTTGTTGCTGCTAAGAGCAGCCCAACCAAGTTTTCAAGCAGGGCCATTTAGGTTTAGATTTTTTTCCCCTAATAATAAACACCTTCATTTAGATACTGCATTTTATGTTTACTGATGTTATCGTTGTCTTATATTTTTTTTGTTGATGATCTGAAACATTTAAGTGTGACAAAAAAGAAGAAAACAGGAAAGGGGCAAACACCTTTTTCACACCACTGTACTTGACAGGTGGATAAAAGTCCATTTAACATTTAAAAATTCAAGACAGTGACCATTTTCAAGTTACTTGTTAACAAAAACATAAAGTGAACTACACTCTTTTTTTATGAATGTCTAAGTTTTAAATTATACACATTTAAATAAGTAGAAGTCAACTGTAGAAGTCTGAAACTACCCTGACATTTTTGTTAGCAATTTGCAGAAAGGGACATAGGATTTAGTAGTTCACGTTGTACTATGTGTTGTATTATCAGTTGTTTCAGTCACAACTCCTGGATGGGCCCATTATACTCCTCACTGACTCAATTGTCATCTATGGCATTCACAAATTTTCTTGGTTTTTTATTTCTCATGATCTAGAACAGGTTGTTTTCTACTCAGAAGATGGAACTCCTGCTGTCTATATGTCAAAGTGTCCTTGGGGAAGATATTGAACCTTCAAATATCACTGACGAGCCCATCAAAGTTTGCATGTATGTGCAAAAATTTGTTATCTACATAAAATCTACATGATATTTTCTCTTTTAATAATGTCCTACCTTACATGGGAGGGAAACTCATGGATAAATACAAGTAGAAATACACAAATTAAAATACCCATAAAAACAGAAATTTCATGATGGCTTCATGACCTACATAAATTTGAGAAAAAAATTTATATTGTGTCCTTTTTTAGTTTATAGAACTGACTTACCGTATACTTAGGTTTTTGTCCACCATCTAGGGTTTTTTTTCCCGGACAAAAATCAAATCTGAATTTCACTTTCAAGTACAAGTTGTATTTAGTGCCTAAATTCTCTGTGCTGCCAGACCATTTTCTGATAGGGCTTCTAGCACATTCACAGTTCACTACAGTTATTGTAACGATCATGATTATTTTTATATGTGGATTTTAGAAAACTCTTAGTAGACATTATGTCATGTTTGCTCCTTTTCTTTTTTAATTCAGCTTTCACTTTGGTGCGTAGCTTTCGATGTGGCTGTGACCCATCTGTCACTATAGAAACCACTCACATCCCTGGGTAACCATGGAGATGATGGAGAAACAGGAGGCATGCACGTCAAAATCATAAATCCAAAGGAACTGTAAGAAAGACAAACACAACACTGAAACATAAAAAAGGTGAACATAAATCACATTGAACTGATAAGAAGAAAACAAGAAAAAAATCAGAACATAAACCTTTGATAAAAAAAAAACTGATGGCAGGTGATCAGTAGAGAGTGAACATCATACAAAATTTCACAGTAAAGAGTGACCTGATCCACAAGCAGCTGGACAGGTTGCCTCACTGGACAACCGGTTCATTCTACAGAGTACTTCACTCAACATACTTTAGTTTCCAAATACCGCAAGTGAAAAGTTTTGTCACTACGTAGCAACCTCAACAGTCAAGATGAAAAAATAAAGCTTGTGCTGATACGTGCAAATTGTAAGAACAGATTCAGGCTGCTGTTTGTATCTGCTGAGCATGTGTTTCATCAGGATATGTTCACTTTCAGATCAAGTGTCAAATTTTTGAAAATTAATGTATGGTAGGTCTGGCTAAAAAAGATGTGATGACAACTTTCTGCTAACAGTCCCACAATGAGTGTTGGACACACAAGAGCTGTTGCAAACAATAATGACACTTTTGAGAAATTACCGAGTGTACTTCATACACTGCATTTGTAAGTAGGTGAAGTCTCAGCTAAGTGTTTTTTGTTGTTGTCTTCTGGGTGTTATGAAACCAGATAGGAGGGGTAGCTCTGACTTGTAACCAAGAGATACTACAAGCATATGGTAGCAACTTAACAGGTACACCAACCCCCAAATCTGGAAATTATAGGGTACCATGATTTACAAAATTACCATCATGTTGTAGTCAATGAGACTCAGGGTTAGGACATTGCAAGTTCTGGTGCTGGCGGGAAATGAAAAGACAAAACACTGAGAACGTTGCTGTTGCTAAAACACAGATGTTTCTGCTTGAATGAAAGCTTGAATGAGTTCTTCTTTGATCAGTGCCCAATAAGTGTAAGAGACAATGGGCTGGTTAAAGAGAGGGGGCTAATGGGGAAAGAAGGAAGCAAGGCAGGAAGATACAGTGGGGGAGGGGTGAATCAAGTGAGAAAGAGCGAGCTCAGATCACTGCACTGAAGCTGACTCAGCTGTAGAATGAGAGAGAGAGACTGGGAGACAAAAGATGATGGGCGGAGAGACTGGAAGTGACAGAGAGAAAGTGTGTGTGTGTGTGGGGGGGGGGGCTAACGTTTCTCACCCAGTGACGCATTTTACAGCATCAAATATTCATTGACTGCTGCAACAGAAGGAACACAACACTGCAGGAGAAGAACAGGGGAGCTGGTTAAAAGATGAATAGGTGAGGAGAGGTAAGGAACAAGGGGGCATAAAAGGATGAGGAGAGGAGGAAAAGAGAAAAAAATGAAAGTAAGGAGATAAAGTGACGAGGAGCAAGCTGACAGCAAATGGAAGCACTATACATACTCGCTGATCTAAAAATAGCTGTGTTGAGTGTGGTAGAGAGACAAAAAAGCAAGAGAGAGCCTAAAAGCAGCAGCTCTGCTCTGTCACTGAAACTACAAATACCAAGAGACCTGATCGATACAAAAGCTGTTTAGAAGCCCAACAACCACTTCTGTCAGTTTACAGCAAACTATCACATGAATCCCTGAGATTTGTTATTGAGTACTGCGAATCATTGATCCGATATTGTACAGACTCACAGGAAATGAGAGAGAATGTACTGCAGTGCAGCAAACACACCCATCTGTCTGCCTGAGTCTGTGCACCTGTGTAGTTTTTATTATTTACTTTGGTATTTTTTGCAGCTTTAAAGGAAACTATCTCATATTGGTTACTGCTATAGTTTAGGACACTGATATAGCATAGTCTCTGTTATAGTGCGTACACTGTTCACTATTATAGTCTGTTCATAGCACCATGCTCCCACTACTGTACATATATTTACCACACATTGATACATCTGTATATCTGTCCGTCTGTATGCTATACAGATCATCTGTACATATCTGTACATATGTATACATAACTACATCTGTACATTTGCTCTCTGTATAGCAACATAAGCATCTATGTACTTGACTTATTTGTACATAATCTGTTCATAACTATTCCCACCTTTTATACTACCCTTATCGGCATATAATCTGCTCCTATTGCACTCACTGCTCTTGCACTTGTGATTAGATGCATACTGTATTTTGTTACCCTGTATTTATACCTGTGTAATGACAATAAAGTTGAATCCTAACACAGAAAGAAATGACATATGTGTTGTGTATAGGACCACAATAAGAAATTAAATAACAAAGTTGTAAGAAAACGCTGCTTGAGAAATTTTTTTACTATGTTGTCCGTTTAGGTTTAGGTTTGGAGTATACGCAGAGTCAAAATAAGGATATATGTCCTACCTCTGATTATTTTTTTTCCCTAACATCCAATACGCATGAATAATTCTCCATACATTCTCCAAACCTCTAGGGACTTTATTATAATAATTGCTGTTCTTTGAAAAAACACTAGCAAAAACTAGCAAATGAACCTTGAGTTACAAATATTCTCTCCAACAATATCTCCACTGTAATAGATGAGCTTCAGTGCTGTGCTTCAGCTTTTGGTAAGGTTCGCTTTCACAGACTAAGTGTCTTACCGGGCGGACCTCTCCTGTGGTATTGGTGTACTGCCTTGCCAGACCAAAGTCCAGCATGTAGCATTTCCTGTAGGTGGAGGGGAGCCGTCCCATTGCAAAGTTTGACTGCAGAAATAAAACACAGTGCATCACTCAACTAGTTTAATCTAAAAGCATCTGCACACAAGAAACGTGAAGGGTATATGGGTCCTCTAACTTTGGTTCTACTCTGCTCATTTACATAAAAATCTATTCATCCGACATCCTATTAACACCCCTTCTGTTCTGGTTTTATTGGCTTGCTTTGATATTTAGATTACCTAAAGATCTAAAGTATCAAAGTTCACCTGAAACCAGATAGACGTTTTAAATTGAGAAACTTTCAGCTACTTATATTAAATTGTTACCAAATTGCAGACATTTGGACTGTTCTACTGGTATTACAGAAACTAGTCAATAATGCTCAACCAGCTCATGGACTCGCCTATATTTGGCCTGCAGAAAACTATAGCTTAGGGGAAAAGCATTCATTACCATTTTGACACATCGGGCAAGAAAAATCAAAAGTTAATATCAGTAAATAATCTCTACCTAAAATCACTTTTAACTCAGGAACTCAGTCTACAGGTGAAGCACAAGGTTGCAGAATTTTTCAAGAAACCTGTACCGGTTTGATGTCGCGGTGCAGAAAGCCCACTGAGTGGATGGCTTCAATGGATTCCAGGATCTGCTTCCCAAGTCTCAGGGTGGTACTCATGGTAAAGGTTCCTCTGGGTTGACTCCTTCGCAGGTCAGCCAGGTTACGACCCTGGGTGAGGGACAGTGACAAGACAGCGGGACTTAATTTCTGCTTGCTTTTAGTCAGGCTGAAATGTGTAAAGATCAGGTTTCAAAAAAGTAATCTAATAATAACGTGGAAAATGCAAAACTGGATATGACTCATAGGAGACACAGTGGCAACAGTAATGAGAAATACACCAGGTTCAAATAAATTGGGACTGTTCTGTGCTGTTATCAGCAAAGGCAACATTAAAAGGTGGTCACCAGTAAATTCATCTGTTTGCATTCTGGCTATGACTTTATTAAAGGTCAATTACACTTATCCTCATTATTTTATGTATTTTTTCTGGTTACATTGCAGGAAGTCTGCAAAAGTCTGCAAAACCTATACATTTGGTAGATCTTAACATGACAGCAACATGAAGACTTCCTCCTGGTGTGCTTCCTCAAAGCAGAATTTTTTAAATGCTAAAGCAATAATCTACCTTATTACTGTGTGTTATGTGTCCCTCTACACTGTTATGCTTCCCAGTAAAAGACTGTGGTTGACATGCATCCAGACAGTGACTCACCTGAAGCTGCATGACGACATAGTTGAATTTGTCGTTTCTCCCACAGCCAATAAACTTACAAACATGGTTTTTCCCTGGAAGGGAAAAAGAAGAGAGAGGAGGCTAATAAACACTTTCCTAATGTACCACAACTTCAACGAAACAAATATTGTTCTACTAAACTAATTCGATTTACAAAGACTTATATATTTAGCACCCTGAAAATTACATATTGGATTAAATTCTTTCAGAGATGTATCTATTTTACGTTTCAATAGCCATTTCCTCCACATTATTTGGGCCAGTTGAGAGATTTACTCTCCCGTGCCTAAAGCTCCTGACCTAGGAGGTGCCCATCTATATCAGATATGTGAGCCACCTTAACTGGCTTCCTTCAATGTGGAGGAATAGTGCCTCTATTTTGAGCCCCTCTCATCCTCTTTGCCAGCCACACTTCGGAGAAAGCTCTAGCCAAAGCTTGCGACCACAGTGGAGGGTAGGAATGCACACTGATCAGTAAATCAACAGCTACGCTTTTATGCTTAATTCCCTCATCACCACAGCAGACCAACGTAAGGCCATTTTTATGCTCGCCACATTGCTTGTGTAGTGGTGTAATTTTCACATCAAATCCTGTGTCGCTAGACACAATAGACACAATGGGTGTATAATCGTGTGTTTACTGAGAATCTTGCACAGAAGCTCAGAGACATACTAACACTAAGGGGAGGACATTCCAACTGTTTAAAAACTTGAGTTTGTGGGTGCTGGTTTAACTCACTGCGACGAGCAGGTGCCTACATGCCGTGCGGCTGGGAGTAGCCTCCCCAGGTTCGAATCTGACCCGCAGCCCTTTGCTGCATGTCTTACCCTCTCTCTCCCCCTCCACTTTCCCGTCACTCTTTACTCTTTCTATCAAATAAACACTGAAAAAATAAATTAAAAACAGAACAACCTGAGTTTGTGGAGAGAATTTTACAAAATAACACTTGACAAAGTCTTGGCTTCTAGTTTTGACTTCTCCTCATCAGTGCGTACGATATTGTCTGAGTGGCAACACCTATTGTTTAGGAGAATACAACAGAGGCTTCCTGCACCTTAATAGCGGGTATAAATGGCTGCATCTGTGCAATGCAGGTGTGGCGGTGAGCAGTGAGAAATATATTTGTGTATGTTTCTCATGGTTTTTTTTAAACCTGCTGTTTACTATTCATATTTAATATCTGCACAGTTAGTGTGGAACACCCAAATTTTGTTGAACATATGCAATCACAATAAAGGGCTATCCTATTTTTCAGAGATTATAAAAGTGCCAATACACCCTCCACAGTGATCGCTTTGTTAAAAACGCACCATTATCACACGGATGTTTAAGTATTCAGTAGACAATAGTTGTCGCCACTCAGACAATATCACGTCATACGTGCTGATAAGGAGGAGCAGAAGTCAAGTGTTTCCACAAACTCAGGTTTTCAAACTGTTGCGTTATCTCTCTGTGTGTCAGTATTTCTTTGAGCTTTGGTGCAGGATTCTAATTAAATAGGCAGGATGATCATACACTTGTGTCTTCAAGCCAGCTGCGACGACTGCAACACAATGCACAAGTTACAAAAATCAAAAAGCCGTCCGACACGCCACAGAGATTGTGTCTCATGACACAGGATGTGATGTGAAAATCGTCTCGTGACACCCACGACACAACTTAAACTGGGGAGGCAATTTGTCCTTGAGCTGAAGTGGGGACCCCACCCTTTCTTGGCTTAGACTATGGCCTCAGACTTGGAGGTACTAATTCCCATTCCCACCACTTCACCTGCCACTTCAGTGCCAGCTTGTAGATGTACTGGTAACAGTTCACAGAAAATCAGAGGAACAAAGTGAAACACAAGTCCAAGACAACCAAGTGTGAAGCAGAAGAGGGAATGTAGCAGCATACGAGGGTTACAAGACAAAGACTCTTGAAAGGTCACCGCCCTGCTGCTAAAAACACCTTATGTGATGAAGATCAAAGGGGCTCAATCACACTCTGAAAGTTGGACCTAAAAAACATTCTTGAATTCTACTCACTAACAATTCCACAACTGGAAGCTTGTATAAACAACGTCTTTGCATTCAGTTATGGTTTTCCTAATAATTAAACCTAATCACCTCCACTGTGGACCACTGGCCCAAAGCAATCAGTGTAGGAGATGGTTTGGCAGCGCTTACCTTGCAGCTTCTTCAGCACTGCCACCTCCATCTTTAGCACCTGTTTGGGCTGCTGGGCTGACTCCACTTTTAGGGCCACATTTTCCCGTGTAAGCAAGTCCAAGGCTTCATAGATCTCCCCAAACCCACCCCCGCCAATCTTCTTTAGCTGGAACACAGGTTGCAGGGCAAAGAGCTCTTAATTATCTTAAAGTAACATACTGTAACCTCCAAAAAGACTTCATTCTTCATTCTTTTTTATCTTTAGTTCATGATGTGTTGGGTCTTTGCAGCTCAGTGGAGACAGTAGATTGATTAGTAAAGTGCAAACAGCCTTCATTTTGCAACCTGACTGGCTGAGACATGAGCTATATTAAGCAACCTTGTACTTCAGAATCCAAAGGAAGCTCAAACAGAAAATTTAAAAAAAAAGTTTGTCTTTCCACTAAACCCTCGAGTTTAAATGTTTGAATTCTTTGCCAGTTTAAATGTCAATTTATTTAGCTGAACATGAGGCATCGGTGATTCGACAGTCATCTCATCTTTTTAATATCGTCTATAAAGGATTTGTGGTTTTCTTTGGGATTTCATTTTTTTTTATCACAACCAGAACAACAGAACATATTCTGATCCTGATACAGACATTTTTGTATGAAAATAAAATCAGAACAAAGGATACAATTTGTTTAAAAATGGTTTACTGTGTATCATGTATCGTTCATACATGGAAAAAGCTTACATTTAAATGATACGTGATGTTTTGCTTCTAATTCTTGCTGGTCTCCTCAGCTCCCAAGTACTAATCAAATAAAATGTAATGCAAAATGCTACATGCATAGTTTAACATTTGCCTTGTACTGCTGAATATAGGATTGGATTCTGTTTTATTTATATTTAAAATTTTGGGGGAAAGAAGGTTTGGATGAAATCAGAAGAGATAGCAAACAGTTAACAAATATGCATACCAGCTAAGAAAATATAAATACAAAATTGTATGGGGGAAATCAGACACCCAAATCTTTCAAACGCACTACTGCAGAACGTGAAACTGAACTGGGGGAATGGGAGCTTTCCAGACTCACCACTTTCCATCGATCCTTGACCATGCAGTTTGGAGGCAGGATGTCGGCCTGCTCGGATGTTCCGTTCATGTTGGCGTTGTCCTGGAGGCCAGGGACTAGGCACTGCATCTGCCAGCTAGACAGAACACGAGCAGCTCCCAACTTAAAAGAGCCATTTATCTGTGAGCAGGGAGGATGAGAGGAGAAAAAGGAAGTAAGAAAAGACAGTCAATACTTTATACACACAATGTTGTTACTGGGATTTTCCCAGTCTAACCAGAGCTCTCTGCTGCTGACAGTCATGGCAACATTATTATATTATTATTATAACAACAGGCATTAGAGGTGGCTGGTTGCCATTAGAAGCCATTCTTCAGCTGGATCAGGGTACAGGTCAGTGGGGTGCGGGGTGCAAGAGGGGTTGGGTATGGCGTGATCTTGAGACCCTGAGAAAAGAAGGCAACTGGACTTTTTAGGTTTGAGAAGATGTTTTACCTCTCCAAGAAGCTTCTTTAGTTCTCTCAGAAGAGAGGGGAAACATCTTTGCAAACCTAAAGCGGTCCAGTTGCCTTGTTTTCTCAAGCTCTGAAGACTACCATGACCTGGATGACTAAGAACCTACACGGACATATGGCGTGATGGTATTTGCAGTAACTGGAGCAAATATCATGTCTGCAGAGGAAGCAGTCTAATGCTCTATTCTTATCCTGACTGCAGCTGCAGGTCAGATGCTGCAACAGCCCAACAGCCAACACCTTGCAATGTTTACTGTAGATCAGAACAAGATGGATTTAATCAACAAAAAATACTAACAACCACGAGTATGGCATGGGAACACTTTTCACTTCAATTTTAAGAAATATGTGCAAACTGCATTACTTTAAGTGGTCTTTTAACATTTGGAGTAATAGACATTTTTAGGTAATAAAAATGAATCTATAAAACTTATCTATTTCACCTTCTGTGTTTAATTCTCTCTCACATACACACATATAGGACTGCCAGAATAATTTATGATGCAGTTACTAATAACACGATTTACTGTTTGGGTCAAAAAACTCTTTTTTTTTTTTCAAAGAAAGTATCCCAGTTGACCTTAGGAAATTAAATAAGGGTTGGCAGTACTGCTCTCAAAAACTCCATAAATCACGCAATTGGAATGAGGTATCTGACAATGCGCCGGATGTGTTTGCGTTTAAGCTTAGCAACAGTTTCATGAGACTAGGAAGATCATAAGGAGCTTGTTGGGCACAAAACAACCTTGGAGTGAGCGCTGCCTGAGAAAACTCCAGGAAAAACAAATCCTTACAGATCTTTTTGTCTGTTTGATACAATATCACCTGTTATTGTTGCAAGATTCAACCATGCTTTGATCGTTGCAAATGGGACAGATCTACAAACAGTGCAGGGACTCATCGATGCTGAGTGAATTGTTGCACTGTGAACTGCTTCAGGAGGTGATAAGTCTGAATTAGGCAACACAGTTCATTAACAGTAGTGACTGGAGGATGTGGTTCCCCTGTTAAATATTGTCAGCTCACTGACCATCAGTCTAATAGGCACTGCCAAAAACTTAATTCATGTAGTCAGCCATTACCTTAGTGTTCTCCAGCCATTCAACTTGAACAGAACTCTGGCTTTTCTCTGCTTTTATACAGGATATCTGCCATGAATGGTTATCAGCTTTCAGTGGATCCATAGAAGAAATCTTAAGTTCAGAGTGATACATGTGAGTCCCCAAACCATGCTGTTCTGCATGCAATGCCATGGGCTTTCATCAGTGCATGCAGAGCTCAGGCGGACTGCAGATAATAAGGGAGCGTGTCCACTGCATTTTCAGTCAGGCCAACTCTGATAGAAAACTGGACAGACTGGGAAGGTGGGGAGGAGGCTTCTCTGCACCTACAGTGATACAGATCTGTTTAACAGCAGCAGCTGCACAGAGACCAGGCAGCTGGGAGTCACTGTAACACTGGAGAGGTAGGGAAACCTGCTGCAGGCCTCAACACACTGCTGAGCCGCTAATCACTGCAGAGGGTGGGACCACACAGTCTCCCCGGATACACTGGAATAGTCTTGGACGACAGTAAGCACAGTGCAGAGTAAATGGCCAATCAGAATTGCGATACTATGCATTACGTGTTATTATAGTGCCATAGTCAAATATATTGCTACAGACTATGAGAACAGACAATGTGTAACAAAATCCATTTTGGAAATATACTATCAAAAGCACTATGTGATGCACAGTGGATACAAAGCATAAATTAGTATAGTATTTATGGTATACTTTAGATTTGTTACAATTATCTTAAATATATAAATTACATTATGCTATATTTATTATATGAAGCTATACCATTATTTTGTCAGATATTGTTGAATGATCTGAATAGGTTACCATCACCAGCCAGTTATCAAATAGTACCATGTAGTACCATCATATGTCATAGATACAACATTGTCTTATGTCTTACTTTTTCGCCGTAGCTTTTAACTATTTACATTAACACTAATAATCTGCACTGCGGCATGAAATAAGTGTAAAAGAGAGAACTGTGCTGTTTTCAAGCGTCTCAGCAGCAGATTGGAGAGACAGACCTTTTATTAAACCTCAATCTTTTTTTCTTCCTTCGTCACCTACAGCTCTATTAATCTGCTAGTGGGTGGGACAGGGAGGGGTGCTCTGCCAGAAGCTGGGCTTGCATCATTCCAGTCTGAGTTGGATAAAATTGGTCAGAGCTCACCATAGTTCTGAGCTCCTGGAAAACCTTAAGATTTACAACAAATCCTGAGTGTGGCAAAACCCTTCCTGTTCCTTTGTTAGCCTACAAGCCAAAACAGAGGGTACAGTTAACCAGGAGAGAAGAAGCAGTGAGTGCTGCAGTCTTCTGACCAGACATAATAGGAGGGTCGGGCACAAAGGGCCTATATACACCATGTTAACCTTGAAAACTTGAAGCAGCAAAATAATCTAACATGCGAAAAACTGTACTCATTTACCGTGTCAATCTTGTCCCAAGTTCACTTGCTGGTTGCAACAATCAGCCATGTATAACAACAGTCATGTTGCTCAGTGGTGGGTTGTTTAATTTTCTCCAACTCCAGCACTTTAAACCCTTCATAGACTAAAAACTTGGAAGCACTTTGTTTTCAGACTCCTACAGTGAAAACAGTGTATAGCCCAGAGTAATTTATCAATGTGCCCCTATAGACAACAGAAAAGGTAGAAACTCCTGTTACAATGTACTTCTTGCTGTGCCAGTTGCAATCACGAGCCTTTGCCTTTGTTTTTTTTTTAAACAATTTGTTTGGAAAAAGGTTCACACAACTTTTAGCAACTCTATTAGTTCACAATGGAAATGATGGTGGAACATAGCTAATAAGCTGCTACAGTTTCCTGCATTTTGAACTTCTGCACCTCCAAAGGTCCACCTCACAGAGTCAGTATAACAATTAACATACACTTTCTTTGCACCTGCAAGGAATTCTATTGATGATGATGTGTCTTTTGTGAGTTTTCTGACAATACAGAATTTTTAAAACTAAGCTTAAAGTATTCAGGTTAATATGACATTAGATCACAGTACAGTTTCATGAGATTAAACAGGACCTTTAGTGTTTCTATGAGCAGATGGTGCTGCAGAAGCATGTCCCAAGTCTAAACAGAGTTACATGACAACATGAAATGAATAATATGAAAAGACTGACTACAGATGCACGATCTGATATCCTCGTGTCGGTGTTGTTCCCACATCATCATAATAAATGTTGTTCCAGGTTCAACATTGCAAGTGACCAATCACCTTGTTGTGACGTCATACTTTTGCGACTATATATATATATATTTTTTTCTTTTTCTTTTAAAGACACTTGTGCATATCACTAGGACAAGCTTGTTTTGTCAAAGCAGTTTCTCTCCTTTCATCTGTCATGGAGCTCCTTGTATGGTTTGCATCCATCCTTTACATTGCATCTTGTGGCCACAGTCAGCTACTGTCATTGAAAGCTCTGACTGTTTCAAACTCATAGTAAACTTTAGCCGTCTTCATTTTACAGGCATGTCTGTCTCCAGCTGAGCAAGCTGAGAGACCAGCAGATTCTTTTGGTGATTTGCACATGCGCACTGTGGATAAACCGCTGATCAGTCGATGGGAGAGCAGCTATCAAGGCAAGCTGACACTGGCTCTTTGAGTTTGAGTGCTTGCTGTGTTATGTATGAGTCCTGAGAGGTAAAGACCTGCAAATTGTGGAATAAAGACTAATAAAGATGGTCATTTTAATGAATTATGTTTCAAATAAAGATTTTGCTTTGAAAGTATTTGTTTGTTTCCTGACCTCTGAAGACCAAACAGATTTACCAAAGGCGGTGGCAGAATTACCTGTTTAAGACAAACAAGAAATTTATGTTTTATTACACTACATTAGCAAGGAAAGCTCTGACAGTGATAGAGAGGGATGGCAGCTCTCGCCAAGCCTGGTCTAATAAAACATGCAAAGAGTGCAGGTCTGTTTCTTTTCTCAAGAACTGCCTTTTTTGCTTTTCATATATATTTGGTCTTCACAGAACATCCACTACGAGCATGTGCTTTCCCCCTCTGTGTATCTCTTCTCTGCAGTGCACAGTGACTTTGCCTCCACACCTAGACAAATATAATAATATAACCAACAACTCACAATAATTTCTAATGCAAGCTCCAGTAGATTTTCTTAGTGTACATGCTGTGATCAGCAGACCAGTTGCTCTTTGTGGATTTATACAAGATGTAAGCAGATGCTTCACAGCTATCTCGGCTGACTTCCGTTCCTGTCGCTAACAGCATACTGTAAATTGTCTTTATATTAGTCTTTATATTTATTTTTGTTTTTCATATATATTTGGTCTTCACAGAACAACCACTAGATATATATTCTTTATGCTATGGAAAATAATCCTGGACTAAATGACTTAAACACTGAATGGAGCTTCCGCTTAGGTCTAACCCCCCACTACCACCCCGTTTCCCCCCCTCTGTATATATCTCTTCTCTGCAGTGCACAGTCATGGATGCTCCGTGCGCATGCGCACCATCACATCCTGCTGATCAATCAATGTGGCCTGGACAAGTTCTGAATTAAATATAAATATAATTACAGTTGTAGAGCCCCCGTCGGTCCTGGTCTAATTACCATCATGCCACTTTCGTTATAGCGTATCTCTGCGAAACACTCACACCCACTGAATGATTTCTGTATGGGCCGAGAGAGCTAGTTCGGATCAGGCCTACCTGGCGCACCGTCCGCTCCTTTTCCGCCTTTTGGGAATCTTCATCTGGGATTTTATTTCGGCACAAAACGTCCTGATCCAGAAAACCCACCGTTCCTCTTACGTGGGGCCAGAATTTGGGCCTCAGGGTTCCGCAGGATTAAATTACCATGTATTTCTTCTACAAAGGTGCCTCATATCAAACCAGACACGGTCCATCCTCAGACCGTTAGTCCCATCCAAGGCAGAGTCCAAAGAATAAATAAATTAATTAATTAATACATTAATTAATTAAAATGAAAAAAAAAAAACACACATACACACAATAGCAGCCTTTATTTTCGCTCAGAGCCCCGGAACGCTCAATAAAAATCCACGCTGACGTCCGGATCCTCCTCCTATTCTCCGCTGCATCAGCTGAGGAGGAGGAGGAGGATGATGCGGACTGGTCCTCTCTGCCTACTCCTGGATGTGATCCTAAACTCCAACTCAGGACAAAACCAGATCCCGAAACCCGCCTCAGGACAACCCGGCTCGGCTGACAGGGACGATCTGCAGGTGTCAGGTTCTCCGGCTCCAGGCTGTTTGTCCGCACTGCAGCGCTGCCTTCCCCAGCGTCAAATCATCCCCACCAAACACAACATCCGGCCACTACTTTCAAAATAAAGCTCCTCCTCGTCAACGCTTTCCTCGCGTTAATGAACAAAACGGCAGTTCATTTGATAGCAATTTACATCGGTGCATCGGTGTGTGATGCACTTTTATTCACCATAATGGTTACCAATATACCAAAAAACAGATGCTAAACCTTTACAGATGGGTTCTGTTAAAATATTCAAGATATTTGTGTTTTCCAGTTCCAGTGATGGATTTTATGAGCAGGGGTGATAGGTGACAAAAGTACACAAACTCTGCACCTAAGTCAAAGTACAGAGATCTGTGTTAAAAAATACTCCAATAAGTTTAAGTGCTGAATCACTGTCTTTACTCAAGTAAAAGTGAAAAAGTACAGGCTCTGAAGTGTACTCAAAGTAAGAAAGCAAAAAGTATCTCCTTGAAGGACAATTCTACCACCTATTTTTTTGCATATGTAATTGGACCTTCTGTTACATTAATATAATACAACTATGATATTAGTACATTAGGCCTCCAGGGCTAGACAGAAATAAGCTTTAGTAGATTTTCTTAGTGTACATGCTGTGATCAGCAGACCAGTTGCTCTTTGTGGATTTACACAGCTGGATTCAACAAGATGTAAGCAGATGCTTCACAGCTAACTCGGCTTACTTCTGTTTCTCTCACTAACAGTATATTGTACATTGTCTTTATACTAGACACAGTATAACGATTGAAATTAGTAAATTAATCTAAGGATCATCAGCTTTAAATTAATCTCTATTTCACTTGATGCAACCCAACTCTGATCATGAGCACCACAGCCACTGTGCATCAGTCCAACACCGAGCTTTACTGTGAATTCATCACATTAACACAAACTGACCTGTTCATCCGCAACAAAACTACCCAGAACTTTCATGCAACATTTGAATAACACAGAGTTAGTATACCGTAGTTTGTTCTGCAGGATGCTTCACAAAGTGAAAAAGACATAATTTATCAAAACACATCATATATAGATCCAATATCTTTCTCCAGCTCTGAGTAAACTTAGCTCTCTCTCTTTTCTCCATAATTTAAAAAACTTAATGTTCTGTTTAGCAAGGCTTCCAATAATAGATAGGTAATAATTAATAGATAATAGATAAACTCACCAGGGAAATATTTACTGAGCTCATTGTAAACTGTGAGCCAAGAGCCATTTTCTCATCATGTCTTTATGCAACCACAGAAGTCACCCCTACACACACACACACACACACACACACACACACACACACACACACAGGCACACATATATATGTAGACAGAACAGAGTGGAAACTGCAAGCCGGACCTTCTTGTGCATCATCAGTGTCTGACAATCATACCCTTATCGATTAAGAATGGGATGATGGCATTCTTGGTAATATATGTTTGAAAGCGGATGGGCAAATATCTTTGGCAATATTCTGCATATACAGTGTATATACAACAATAATAAAGCACTATTTGACACTCTCTGACTTCATTATTGCCAGGTGTCTCTTGGAAATGAGATGTTAATCTCAATGAGATTTTTAACTGGATAAATAAAGGAGTAATTATAGAGTGATCAGAGTTCTCCTCACATTGGAGTTGGAGTTGATTAAAAGTGCTGATCTTGCATTTTGGTGGCTGTTCACTGGAACCCTCAACAGGAGGTTAAGAGAAATGTCAGTGCAAGTGAAGGCAGCAATCAGCAGGCTGAAAAGCCAAAATACACCTTTCAGAGAAATAGCAAAATGTCTGCAGGGCTAAAGTGACAAAGCTCAGAAACAGAAAAAATTAAGGAAGATGGATTATAAAGTGTACAGGGCTATTTTCCATTCTTAGATTCAGCCAAATGCCGCAAAACTATGGAGAGAAATGTCTGTAACCCTTTTGACACATAATTCTCTAATTTTACAGTGCAAATGGATGATAACCATTTCAAACAAAGCGACTACTGTGGGCTTTGGGAAGTGAACTGTTTTCATTTTTGTCATTACAGGAAAAAAACAGAAAAAAGAATAAAGAAAAAAATGAATATAATCATTAGTTGCAGCTCTACACTCATACCGGGTTTATAGGTTGTTTGTGTATGAGTATAATTAGTACCCGGAGAATATACATTTCAGTCAATGTCTTGTTGTATAATGTTACATTTATTTTGAAAATCAACCTAACGCTGTGACCATACAGGCTGTTATTTTTACAGTCAGTCTTTTATGTATTATCAAACAGTGGCAGTTGAATGAGCGCTGTTTAATCCCACCCTTCTGCTTTTACATATCTGTATATATATATAAACACACACACACACACACACATAAAGCTGTGTGTGTGTAGGAACACACACAGTAACGAACGATTACGATTCACTGACCCGACATCCTGCCTGTGGCCTCACACTCTCCCACTAACACTGTCATAGACGCACATACACACACACACACAAATACAGCCTGATCACACAGTTCATCTGAAAATTTGGTACGCCTTATGTCATTTGATGCTTATGTCAATCCGTTTCTTCTTACCTGAGTATTGTTTTCCGTCCGGACACCAGAGGGCTGAGATAAATCCGTTCCCTCTCCTCCATCTCTCAGCATCAGCACCACATACACGCACACCCCCTTGGCGTCGCCATGTCTAAGCTGCAGTGCCACTCACACCGCCCCCTGCTGTCGCGGAGTTTTTTGGGGATTCAATTTTTTTCTTAATAATCTTTATTTGAACAGAAGTGGCCAATAAGCTCCCATTCCTAAAGACAAAATATTAGAAGTACTTTAAATGTAACAACCATTTCTTCATCCAAAACTGCAATGTTTGTCAATCAATTTTAGTGTATGTAAATTGTAACCTTGTGGACATTTGTTTATGTGTAGTTCAAGCCATAGAATTTGGGTTAAGCTCTCTGACTGGGACATTGTAACACCTCGATTCTTTTTTTCTTGCCATTTAATTGTCGATTTGTTGGTGTGCTTGGGATCATTGTCCTGTTGCATCACCCAATTTCAGTCCAGCTTAAGTGGTTAGATGCACCTAGAATCATCAAGAGTTCATGGCTGACTCATTGACTGCATACTCTTTTTAGAGAGAAGGGGCTTTCTGTTGGCAACCTTGAACTCCGACGACCTTTAACATTTAACATGCTAACTAAGGCCTATAGAATCTGAGATGTACGGTCTGTTTTTTGAGCATCGTACAGTCTGACTTTGGGGTGAATTTACTGGGACAGCCACGCGCCTGCTCCAGACCAGCAAACTAAAGACCACCAAACTTTTATAGGAGGTGCTCACATTTACTAATGATCATTAAATTAAGTGCATTTACAGGACGTGGCTGGCACCTAACCCTCTTAATTCTTATGGAAGCAGTAAGGTTGTACTTATTTTTTCACAGAACTGCATAAAGCACAGCAAAAACTCTTTTTCACAGGACTGAGCTACAAAGTGAACATATTTCTAGCTAATAAATAAACTATGACTCCCTGATTTGTTTTGATGTGAATGTTGGGCTTGAGGACAGATGAAACAATCACCAACCTGTCATCCATTGCAAGACATCACAACAACTTAACACGTTAGGTTTGGCAGGCTAACCATATCGCTAATGGTCATCTCCTACTTTGGAAATAGACTCTTTCCTTTTTCTTTGCAGCAATAAGGAATTATACATTAGGCAGCAAAAGAAAATAGTTCTGGTTGACACTAACTATGGTTCTTATTAATTAGCCTTGCGGGCAGAGCACTTTTTCAAATACCTCATTACGCACTTAGTTGTGAATGTGTGTATTCTGTGGTGGTTACAAATTTGTTAACGCAAATAGAGAACAACACATACAGTAACTTTACATTTGCAGGGGGATGATGAACATGATATATATACTCACTCTCTCTCTCTCTCTCACACACACACACTCAAAAAAATCCAATCTTTTTTTTTTAATGCAGATGTTAATTATCGTATGTGTGACTGTTCGTGAAATGTTTATCTGGGTAGGTCAGAGTACATATACACATAAGAACATATTACAGTAAGAAAGAATGATGATGAAGTCATTCTTTCTACTTTTCAAGGGGCATCAACATATTTTCCAGCATATTCCAGGGATTAACAGAGGCCTCATTTGCCAATTTTACATATTGCCATCTGTTGTCTGTTTTCACACACATATAATCATTGAGTGACATCGTACTCTTTATCCACAGGGTTTAATATGATGTCTTCCAATCCTTTGCAGCTTAGGGGAAGGCTTCCCATAAGGTTTGGGAGTGTGTTTATGGAAATCTTTGGCCAGTCTTCCAAAAGCACCTTTGTGAGGTCAGACACTGATGCTGGACGAGAAGGCCTGGCTCACAGTCTCCAGTGTAAACATGGCAAAGGTGTTCTTTTGGTTGAGGTCAGAAAGCTGTGCGGTTCAGTCAAGTTCTTACACACCAGCTTCACTCAGCCATGTCTCCATGGACCTAGTCCTGTGCACTGCTGCACAATCATGTTGAAATGTTGAAACAGGAAGGAACCATCCCCCTATTCCCGCCCACAAAGTTGCGAGCAGGAAATTTTTGGAAAATGTTTTGGTATGCTGAAATATTAAGAGCTCCTTTCACTGAAACTATGGGGTCCCCCCCACCCCCCCTCCAAAAAAAAAAACAAAACAAAAAAACCCAGACAACAGTAACAACAAAAACAAAAACAAATAAATTATCTCCCCTCCTTCTTTACACTTGGTACAAATGTAGTCAGACAAGTCTCCTGGCAATGGAAAACCCAGACCTGTATATCAATTTGGCAAACAGAAAAGTGTGATTCGTCACACATACTTCGCATTATGCTTGTATTGTAAGCCTAGTGACTTTTTTTTTAAACTGAAAATATATAAAATATATATATATAGAATATATAGCTTCAATTAAGACTTTTAAAAAACAAAACAAAACAAAAAACAAAGGTCTAAAAGCATTTTTGAACAAATCAGGCTTCTGTGCAAGAATTCTTTATGTGAAAATTCTGGTTTTCTTGCATTTTTACACAAAGATACAGGACAGAAATATGAACATTTAACACTAGATAAGACTGATTAGCACCCAATCATATTGTTGACACACTGCACTGGATAAACATCAGATTTCAACATTTCTGAAAGTGTAAAATGACTACAGTTTGTATCCATTCATACATGTTTACAAATGCCTATGCATGGCTGAATAAGGGATTTGCAAAATTCTCGTTGCCCGTAGCTTCAGGATCGTCATTCTCAGCAAAATCTTCAGGGTCCAGATCAGCCTCAAATATCCGCTGTAACAAGGCGTCCACTGTTCGATATCCTGACACAAAACACACACACTTTCATAAATATTGTCTCTAACAAACAAGAGCAAGTTTTTATTATTGTCTGTCCTCAAATACTTTGCCCATTTTTACATTTCTTCCTGAAGAGAACAAGAATGCCTGATGTAAAATTAGTGACAATCTATTGAGCAAATGTTCAAATTAAAAGTTAGCCAAAAGTGTTCCTTTTTTTATCTTTTAAAAATCACCTTCTGTCTCCACTTGTCAACTTACTTTTTGAAGCAATTTTAAACATCAGGGACGGTAAGTTTGGTTTTGCTGACTGGCTGCCTCCCAGGTCATTGTCAATAGTTTCCATGGCGTTCACCAAGTTGTCCTCCATCATCTCCCTGGTTAATAAAAAAAATACAGATGATCAGGCAGAAATATGAGAGTGATAATCAGAGATATAAAACCGCATGAAAGATGTGCAAGATAATCATAAGAAGCCATGAAGCCAAGAGTCCATTAGACATTGTGCATAACAGAGGTTGAAAATTAAAGCTTAATTTGGATTTGATTCAGAAAGAGAAGATAAAGAGAGAAATATTTTTTTAAACATATTTTTAATCATCTTAGAAAAGATCTTTTTAAAGCTTGGTGCTATGAAGAAAGCACCAAATAGTCAAAAGAAACCCCACTAGATTAAGGTAAAGTATTAAACTTTTTAAACACTGAAGCACAGCAGCATCAGCTTCCATTCATCTTCATAATGCAGCGAGTGACAAGTGTCACTGCAAGCCTTTTTGATTTGCCATTTCAGCAAAATTTGCTCAACCCTGAACGTTGAGAGTGCAGAGGGCAACGTGACTATAGCGGCAATGATCAACCAAGCTGATCATTTACTTAGTCATTCATTTTCATTTCATGTGCATTTTCTTTGATTTCTTTGGAGAAAAAAAATGAAGTTAAGAGACAGGGACCACATTGTCCAAATGATTTTTAAATAATGTAAATGGTAAGTGGACTGATTATTATTTAGTGCTTTTCTACTCTCTGAGTACTCAAGCGCTCTATACAACATGCCGCATTCACCCATTCACACAAGCACTGTCTTCTACTGCTCACTAACTACCATTCACACACATTCATACTCCGATGGACGCGTCGCAGAGCAACTTCGGGTTAATATCTTGCCCAAGAATATTTGGAATGCAGACTGGGGGGAGCCAGGAATCAAACCATCGCCTCCTGAGCTACAGCCAGGAACCAACAGCAAAATTCTAATAGTATTTTGTGCTACAACAAAAGAACTGGCTAAGAGCAAGTCTAAGCACACCAAAAATAAACTGGATCTAAAAAGATATCAAACAAAATTATGAAACATGCAAGTATCAAAAGTCATACTGGAAATGGTGTAGTGCTATTAATGTTAGGTCCAGTTGACATCGTACCACTATAATGGCACAACGAGCTGATTCACTATCATTAGGTTGACCAGTTCTCTTCTTTGGATGGCCAGTGAGCTGATTATCTTTCAGATACGCAGGTGACAAGTACACCTCTAAAACTAGTCAAAATCCACTGCTTGAAGAAAAAACATTGCAGACACCATTTGTGTGTGAGCTGTACACAACAGATACAGGATGTTTAAGCTGTTGTGCAATTGTGCTCAGGTACACTACCAGTCAAAAGTTTGGACACACCTTAGTTAATGGTTTTTCTTTGTTTTCATTGATGTCTTCAATGAGAATCTACAAAACTATGAATGAACACATTTGGAATTATGTAGTAAACAAAAAAGTGAAATAACTCAACATGTTTTATATTTTAGATTCTTTAAAATAGCCACCCTTTGCTTCGATTACTACTTTGCACACTGTTGGCACCTGAAATGGTTTTCCAACAGTGTTGAAGGAGTTCCCAGAGATGCTGAGCACCTGTTGGCCCTTTTGCCTTTACTCTGCGGTCCATCTCATCCCAAACATCTTGATTGGGTTTAGGTCAGGTGACTGTGGAGGCCAGGCCATCTGGTGCAGCACTCCATCACTCTCCTTCCTGGTCAAATAGCCCTCACATAGCCTGGAGGTGTGTTTGGGATTATTGTGCTGTTGAAAAATAAATGAACGCAAACCGGATGGGACTGCATGTCGCTGAAGGATGCTGTGGTAGCCATACTGGTTCAGTGTGCCTTCAATTTTGAATAAATCCCCAACAGTGTCACCAAAAGAGTGCCCCCACACCATCACACCTCCTGCTCAATGCTTCACAGTGAGAACCATCAGTTTACCTTTTCTGCATCAAACAAAGACACAGCAGGTGGAACCAAAGATCTCCAATTTGGACTCATCAGACCAAAGCACAGATTTCCACTGGTCTAATGGTCCATGTGTTTTATTGGCCCAAATAAATGACTCCTGCTTGTTGCTTTTCCATAGTTGTGGTTTCTTAGCAGCTATTTGAACATAAAAGCCTGATTCAAACATATGTGTCTGCTACTGGAACTCTGTGTGGCTTTTATCTGGGCTCTAATTTGAGGTGCGCTGTTAACTTGTGATTTCTGAGGTTAGTGACTTGGACGAATTTATCCGCAGCAGCAGAGGGGACTCGGGTGGTCTTTCTTCTATGTTGAATGAGAAGGTGTGTCCAAATTTTTGACTGGTAGTATACATCACTTAAAAAAAAGATTGCTGCGTTTCTCGCCTTTAGTCAGCAGAACTGCTAGGAAACTTGAAAGACTCCATAATTAGAAGCCCTAGTCCTCATGCATACTTTGACATGTGTGAGAGGACAGCAATCCTGCTGCATTATCAGATTGAACTGATTGGTGTGGCAGTGTACAGAGTATTTTTTGCCAGCAACTCAGCATTTTTGCAGTATTTCTCTCAACCCCCCTAAGAGAACCATAGTCCTAGATGAAGTGTGTGGCAGGAGGAGCCCAGTGTCAGGGCAAACAAGGTGGAACCTTCAAACTCACACCGTCCACACGGTGTTTCAACATACAGAGACACTGAATCGGTGTTTTGAAAACATTTGGAATGACAAGCCTTGAAACAATGGGTCAGTTCAAATTGCCTGACAGAATCAAGATTGGGTAGGATGCTGTGGACTCAGTAGCTGCACAGTAATGTGACTTATTGATGGAGCAGTCAAAGGCTCGCTTTGAGAAAGTCCTGCACTTAATGCCATTTGTTGATTCCCAGCTGTTTAAGGAAAGTTTCTGCCACACAATATCTGTCTCTCTCTTTCTCTCACTCTTTGCTAATAGTAGAACATTATTATTCTTAATCAAATATATCACCAAAGTACAAGTCTGATTGATATGTTAAATGTAGTTTGAGGAGTGAAAATGACTGTTATAGTATATAGTAATAGTTAGCAATAACACACAAAAGAAGAAAATGTTGTGAGGTGAGTTTGAAGTTTAAAGTTAAATCCTGTGCTACATGATGTATGTGGAAAAGTCAGACAGCTAGAGAGGATGATGAGGTGTGGCTGCACACTGGGTGGTTAGATGTTAGTCATGTGATTGGACGTCCAATCCAGCCGGTGTGTGTTTGAAGGTTGCACCTTGTTTGGTCACAGCTGACTATCATCTCTTAGTTTGCGACCTTGCTCCAATTTGCTTGGCTCTTCACATATTGCACGTGTTATATTGAAATGGACTGTGTGGCAAAACAAATCACACCCATCAATGCTATTTTGCCCCAATTTGTAAATCTGTTTCAAGTGTTGCTATAACAAGGTGGTGCTGTCACGTCCTATCAGGGATGTGACAGTGCAGGTATTGGGGTTGTGAATTATATGTGTTAGCCCACCCACTCAATATGACCACCACACACCACTCTCTGCAAGGTAACATACTGTGCCACAGCAAGCTCCAGTTCTTCAATCTTCCTCTCCAAAGATGTCTGCAAGTCACTTTTATCCACAGAGTACTCCACAAAGAACGCCTCAAGGACAAACGCCACGAAGATACTGAAAGACAAGAACAATCGCATGCAACATTTAGCAGTTCTTAACCAAATTGTATTACTGCATGTACTCAGAACAACCACTTTATCAGTTTAATATTGAAGACATTTTTCTGAGGCAGAACCGGGACCATTTATATTTCCATGATATCAAAGAACATTTTAGGATTCTAATTTGTGATTTTTTAAAATATCACAAGCTTTTTCTTCTATCATGCTTGTAAACGCTGGGAAAACCAAGGAGTTGGTGGTGGACTTCCGGAGACGCAGACCCCCCACACTGACACCGGTGAACATCCAGGGAGTGGACATTGAGATAGTGGACTCTTATAGGTACCTGGGTGTTCACCTGAATAATAAACTAGACTGGAGCCACAACACTGATGCTCTTTAAAGGGAAGGGTCAGAGCAGACTCTACCTGCTGAGGCGGCTGAGGTCATTTGGAGTCCAGGGAGCGCTTTTAAAGACCTTCTATGACTCTGTGTTGGCATCTGTCATTTTTTACAGTGTTGTATGTTGGAGCAGCAGTTTATCGGCAGTTGAGAGGAAGAGGTTGGATAAACTCATCAGGAAGGCCAGCTCTGTTCTGGGATGCACCCTGGACCCAGTGCAGGTGGTGGGAGACAGAAGGACTCTGGCCAAAATAACATCTCTGATGGACAGAGTCTCCCAGCCCATGCATGTAAATGTTGCTGAACTGCAGAGCTGCTTCAGTGACAGACTGCTGCGTCTTCGATGCATGAAGGAGCGTTTCCGCCCTGCAGCTGTCAGACTGTACAATCAGAACTGCTCCCAACAAGCATAGATGTTTACATCTGCGCTGTAACTGCAATAATTTAATCAAACGATTCGCACTACAACCTGTGTTTGCCTCTTATCTGTAGTTAATTTTATTTAATTTAATAACTGTACAGTACTCTGTTTATAGTAACTATTGTCTTTAATGTAATGTTTCTGTTCTGTGTCCTGTTTGTTTGTATATGCGTCTTTCTGGCTGCTGTTACAACCAAATTTCCCCTTGTGGGACAATTAAATGATTATTCTATTCTACCAAAAAAGTCACACAAAATCTAAAACGTTGTGTATTATATATGATACACACATCCCACTTTGAAAACCCTCACATTGATACATTAATCCTGTAAGCCTTTACACTGATCATATTCTACTTTGGGGAATTTCAACACAAATGAAACAGTGTTTTGCTAAACCTTTTCCTTACTTTATGGCACTGACACTGCTACAATAGTGGCCACTATTAATAAACATGGCTACTGTTTAAATAAAGGTGTCAGAGTAGGCCGAGTTATCAGCGCAAGATAAAAGGTGAGGTTTAAAGGTGGATAGGAGGATAAAAAGGTGGTTTAAATGGAGTTTTTCACTTAAAGAGAAAGGAGCTAAAATGGATATCTGAGGGACTGCAACAGGTAATTAATAATTTTGAACTGTGAATCAGTGAGTTGCCTACTTTTAGGACTCTGTTTGAGGGGGAAACTCTGCTTTTATAGAGTTCTATGATAAAACACCCAGTGCAACTCACCTTCAAGCATCTAGTGGTTAAAATGTGTCAGACGTAAATATAAATAATTATACATATTCTTCTCGATTATGGGAACAGCAGGACTTGTTTTTGTGGCTGACACCACACCAGTGATGAAAGTACGACACCATTAGCCTTACTTGAGAATGACGATGACGACTATGACGTGGAAGAGGACAAAAAAGATCCTGGCCGAAATGTGGGTGACGGTGGCAAAGCCGCTGCTGAGAAGTGGAGTCTTGTTAAGAAATGATAACACAAACAGGAATCAAACCTGGCAACGCAATTACTCTCAAACATTTCATAAATGCAGATGATTTTATTTGCAGTAGAATCAAAGTCACAGAGAGAGAAAAAAAAGGGGGGGGGGGAGGTTTTGTAGTTTTGAAGATGTCTTAAAAATTCAAATCGCTGCTGCTAACTGAAAACAAGAGATTAAACACAGAAAATGCTGAGACATTCAGCTAAAGGATATCATGCCATTGGTTGACCACGGTAAGCTCAACCAGCAGGATGAAGGAGGAGACCACATCGTTGAAGTTATTCTTGCAATAGTTGAGCTTTGCAAAGTCTGTTCCATTCAGCAGAGGATTACCACAATATGCCTTTGCTGGATCGGTGGAGCTCTGTTCATAAAACGTCACCTTCCCTTTAAAGAGCTCCATCCCCACCATGGCAAAAATGTAGTACACCACCTGTGGAGGAACACCACAACGGACAGAACCACAAACATAATGTCAGCTTCAGTTTTCAGACCCCTCAGCAGGTTGAGGCTCTGCATAATGCAGCGTTTGTAGGTTGGCTGGTCCTCACTATGTTTTAGAGCAGGTGTGGGCAACTCCAGGCCTCGAGGGCAGGTCTCCTGAAGGTTTTAGATGTGTCCTTGATATAAAACAGCTGATTCAAAGGGCTAAATTAACAACATGTCTTGAAGTTCTCCAGAGGCCTGGTAATGAACTAATCATTTGATTCAGGTGTGATGACCCAGGGTGATATCTAAAGCCTGGCCGACACTGGCCCTCGAGGCCTGGAGTTGCCCATCCCTGTTTTAGAGTGAAGTCTCTACTGAAGGTTGCCCTCATATTGGTGATGGATCTTTTAAGACAGAACCATCATTAGGGCGGCTAACATCAGCTGTGCTTTGTTTTAGTGTTTGATAACAAATGCTACTATGACAAACCAGCCTGCTGTCACAAACTCACAATGATAAGCTGTCCAAATGTGAGGATTGCTGGTCCAATCCTGATCAGGGTGTTGATGATTGTACGAAACCTAGCAAGAAAATAGACCTCACTGTTAGTAAAGCAACATGCTCATGGCTTCCTACTGTGACATCCATTTTTCATTTGATGCATCTAAGGATTACTGCAGGATCACCACAAATACAGATGATTTTTATACAAGGATAAATAAAGGAATAAGAAATGTAGTTAAACCTTTTGATGCTGTCCACCACCCGTATCAGTCTGAGGACTCGTAGAATGAAAACAATGTCCAAGATTTGTCGGCTGGAGAAATGACTCGCTATAATGCAAACGGAATTAACAAATTAATGAATTAACAAAGACCAATAGCTTGTATCATCCTGTGTTTTAAAATAGTTATTGTGATTGACAGTGACATGAACACTCAAAGTAAACATTCAAAGATGTATCTAAAATGTGAGTAATTAAGTTTTGTTGAATTGTACTATCAGCAGTTCAGAGACCAGAACAGCAGGAGCTTTAAAGGCTAACTCATGAAATCCTTTTTGGGGGGAAATTGAGCATTTATACTTTAGTATTTTAGAACTCAATTTTCAAAACTGTTAAAAAAAACAACAACAACAAAAAACAACAACAAACTTGTGAATTTTATATTCAAAGTTTTAATTTGTATTATATTAGTTAGTCTGCATTTTTTGTTTGTTTTGTTTGGTTAAAATTGTACTGCACAATTAATGTAGTTGTGGGGGGGGGTGACTACATTACACTTGATGACTCTACCATGGCGAAATTTGCCTTTATAGCTACACCGTGTAACTTGTTATTGTTGTAGTTGCATGTTTGTTTTCAGTTCAGTGATTTTCTGCCTCTGTTCCCCGACTCCATGCTGGTGTGTACATTCAAAGTGATGAAACAGATTGCATTAAACAAACAAACAAACAAAAAGTGATGTGCCAGCCAGATGTAAATTTGGCAAGGGTTAAGTTTGACCTTGATTGTGACCCTGTTGGAACAAAGCTTAACATTAATTAGAAACTCTTACATGACTTCATCACAGAGTTTACGATGGTGGCAACAAGAGCAGAGATGACAATGATTGTGTCAAACCTGAAGACAGAAAACAGAAATCAAAAAAAATTCAAACTTTAATTCAGGCAGAAATGCTATGAACGAGGATGCTGAAAACAAAACCCTTTTTTCTTATGGCGTCAGTCTGACACCACCAACGTGTCAAAAACACAAATATACCATGAATGTAAATAAAACGACCTTTTTTTCTCAGCATCAGTTAAGTGTGAGAAAATCTTCATGTTGTAAAAGAATCAAAAGATTTTATCTTTTGTATTCTTATCCAAGTATTTCCAATTTAAGGAACATTAAAACTAACAAGCACATGCAGGAGGCTGCAGAGTGTGGAAGCAAACAGAACAAGAAACCATTTGTGCCTAACAAGCAGCTTTCATTCATGGACTGGATCCAGGTCTAGCAATTCATCCAGAAAATATACAAACACAATGCTGAATATTTTTTTGACGGAAGTTATCGCAGCTACACTGCTCAGTAGCAAATGTAACACTACTGTAAAAAAGAAATGATAGCATAAGAAACAATGAAGACAAAACTATTCCAAAAGCTGCAGCAAGAAACCTTCAGAAGGATCAGAGCTTAAAACCCCAGTGGCAACTTTATTAGGTGCACCAAGACGGATCTAAAGACAAACCTATTGTCATTCTACACACACACAATAATATCATACCCAATAAAGTGGCCACTAAGTGCAAAAAGTCATGAAAATGAGGCAATTAACTGGCAAATACAGTGAGGAACATAAGTATTTGAACACCTTGCGATTTTGCAAGTTCTCCCACTTAGAAATCATGGAGGGCTTTGAAATTCACATTGTAGGTACATTCCCACTGTGAGAGACAGCACTTAGAAACAATTCAGGAAATCACATTGTATGATTTTTAAAGAACTTATTTGTATTGCACTGCTGCACATAAGTATTTGAACACCTGGCAATCAGCAAGAATTCCGGCTCTCAAAGACCTGTTGCTATGCCTTTAAAAAGTCCACCTCTACTCCACTTAATAATCTAAATTAGTAACACCTGTCTGAGCTCTTTAAAGACACCTGTCCACCCCACAGTCAGTCAGACTCCAACTACTACCATGGGCAAGACCAAAGAGCTGAAATGCTTATGTGCAACACAAATAAATTATTTAAAAGAAAAAAAACACAATGTGTTTTCCTGAATTGGTTTTTAAATGCTGTCTCTCACAGTGGTGCTACAATGTGAATTTCAAACCCCGCAATGATTTCTAATTGAGAGAACTTGAGTGGAGTGTTCAAATACCGATGTTCCTCACTGTAATATAAACTAAATTTAACTGAAAAAAGTTGGTTTTTTGTTTTGTTTTTTAAATAGAACATTTTTGTACATTGTACCATTTTACCATGTTTTGTTTTGAGCTTTTCTTTTCAGTTTAGTTGGGAGTGGATCTGCCTGCTTTAGGTTTATCAATTACATCAAAAACTAATATTTTCACTTTTTCTGATTAAACCAAACTGAAGTTCATTTGAAGTTCAGAAAAGGTCTACAAATGTGCGCGCATTTGTGGATTGAACTCAATGAAGGTGATTTTCAATATAGAAATGTCCCTTGTGTACAAAGACTTTTCAGTCTGTCCAATTCTTGTTGTTCTTAAATAACAAATTGTCACACTGTCCTTTACACACTATTCAAACACAATCAGATTTCCCAGTGTCATCACTTGAAGTTGTCTTTGTAGAATTTCTATTAAACTTTAAGATTTATATAACTTGCATAACCCAAGTAAGCCAGTTGCTGGTTTTTGTTATATATTATTATTTTTTGTTTTATTATTATATTTCTCATTATTGAGCACTTGTTTAGTTTTATCCTTTATCCTATGTTCGTCAACATATTTTGTTTTTATGTCTTGATGCATTCTCAATAATCCAGGAAAGTAAATCTCCAAAAGTTGATTCTGTTCATCTGGACGTAGCGTTTTGTGGGAGAAACGTTTCGTCACTCATCCAAGTGACTTCTTCAGTCGTCGCTTGGATGAGTGACGAAACGTTTCTCCCACAAAACGCTACGTCCAGATGAACAGAATCAACTTTTGGAGATATTTTGTTTTTACTTTTGACATTAAACTAAGCTCCATCATTAGGAAAAGTTCACTTCCCAAAGCTTAAAAGAGTAGATAAACAACCCGCTGAGCATCAGTGACTTGGTCGAAGCACTTGAAGGCGTATGAAGGTAAAAGAAGCAGCTGACAATGTAAAAGAAACATTAAATCATGTCACATACCTTGTACTTATAATCTGGGATGTAGATAAGCTGTGTGAAATTCATGCAACACAACTTGTTGATCTTAGATTTGATTCATTTAAATACTTCCATTACTTGTTATATTAACAAATACTCAAAAATACTATACACATATTTTAAGAAATTAAACATTTGACATAACACACAAATACAGTACATGTTAATTTATAAATGTCTACGTAAGGTTTTTGTGTATTAAGCAAGCAGACTTGGATTACACTGTTGGTTTTGATCTGCACAGTGGATTTTTTTTGTGTTTTAAACCATCTGCCTCACTGAAAAAGCTTGATCACACCCATGAATAGATGGTGCTGTGTAATGTCTGGATCTCTGATTCCACATGAACACCTGTTAAAATGTACCTTAAGCTGTCTGTAGATAAATCAGTACTGGGGATTCAGAATCTTTGGTGAGTAAAGACAAAGTGTCAAAAGCACATTAATGACATTATAATGTTATACACTTGTTCTCACGGCATGTTCTCACCAGTTCCAAAAACTGTGTTTGGAGAAGAACACTCTGGGCTCAAACACATACAGCTTCAGCAGAATCTCCAGAATATACAGAGCCAGAAAAACCCACTCTGAATTTGCAATCATTGGATTCTCCTCATCAAGACCGATGAAAACAGCATTCACCAGTATGATCAGGTCATATACCATAACAAAGGCCCTGGAAAAGAACACATATAGTTCTGTGTTTGTAACTACTTACATCAAAATCAGAGGAAAAAAAAAGAAGGTTTCAAAGTTGAATTTGTATCTTACCGGTGTTGGACCAGCTGGCATAGGAGTTTGCTGGGGGCTGACTGGTAGAGGGAAGGGCACAAACTTTGAAGTGGATGAGGTCTTGACTTAATTGTTATTATTTCAATATTCAAGAGGTCAGCAAGCTGGACAAATGCCACCTTACCTGTAAAATAATCATCCTAGAATTGTAATCAAAAACGTTACAAAGATATAAAAACTTAAACTTAGGTCTATTTTAATTGAATCATCTAATGCAGGGGTCGGCAACCCTGGGCACGCGTGCCAGCTCACGCGAAGGGTTAACTCAGACCTTCCCAAAGTGTGGGGCCCGCCCCCTAGGGGGGGCGCAGAGCCATTGCAGGGGGGGGCGCGGCATGAAACCCCTTCACAGTGTTTTTGCTAAACCTTTTCCTTACTTTATGGCACTGACACTGCTACAATAGTGGCCACTATTAATAAACATGGCTACTGTTTAAATAAAGGTGTCAGAGTAGGCCGAGTTATCAGCGCAAGATAAAAGGTGAGGTTTAAAGGTGGATAGGAGGATAAAAAGGTGGTTTAAATGGAGTTTTTCACTTAAAGAGAAAGGAGCTAAAATGGATATCTGAGGGACTGCAACAGGTAATTAATAATTTTGAACTGTGAATCAGTGAGTTGCCTACTTTTAGGACTCTGTTTGAGGGGGAAACTCTGCTTTTATAGAGTTATATGATAAAACACCCAGTGCAACTCACCTTCAAGCATCTAGTGGTTAAAATGTGTCAGACGTAAATATAAATAATTATACATATTCTTCTCGATTATGGGAACAGCAGGACTTGTTTTTGTGGCTGACACCACACCAGTGATGAAAGTACGACACCATTAGCCTTACTTGAGAATGACGATGACGACTATGACGTGGAAGAGGACAAAAAAGATCCTGGCCGAAATGTGGGTGACGGTGGCAAAGCCGCTGCTGAGAAGTGGAGTCTTGTTAAGAAATGATAACACAAACAGGAATCAAACCTGGCAACGCAATTACTCTCAAACATTTCATAAATGCAGATGATTTTATTTGCAGTAGAATCAAAGTCACTGAGAGAGAGAAAAAAGGGGGGGGGGGAGTTTTTGTAGTTTTGAAGATGTCTTAAAAATTCAAATCGCTGCTGCTAACTGAAAACAAGAGATTAAACACAGAAAATGCTGAGACATTCAGCTAAAGGATATCATGCCATTGGTTGACCACGGTAAGCTCAACCAGCAGGATGAAGGAGGAGACCACATCGTTGAAGTTATTCTTGCAATAGTTGAGCTTTGCAAAGTCTGTTCCATTCAGCAGAGGATTACCACAATATGCCTTTGCTGGATCGGTGGAGCTCTGTTCATAAAACGTCACCTTCCCTTTAAAGAGCTCCATCCCCACCATGGCAAAAATGTAGTACACCACCTGTGGAGGAACACCACAACGGACAGAACCACAAACATAATGTCAGCTTCAGTTTTCAGACCCCTCAGCAGGTTGAGGCTCTGCATAATGCAGCGTTTGTAGGTTGGCTGGTCCTCACTATGTTTTAGAGCAGGTGTGGGCAACTCCAGGCCTCGAGGGCAGGTCTCCTGAAGGTTTTAGATGTGTCCTTGATATAAAACAGCTGATTCAAAGGGCTAAATTAACAACATGTCTTGAAGTTCTCCAGAGGCCTGGTAATGAACTAATCATTTGATTCAGGTGTGATGACCCAGGGTGATATCTAAAGCCTGGCCGACACTGGCCCTCGAGGCCTGGAGTTGCCCATCCCTGTTTTAGAGTGAAGTCTCTACTGAAGGTTGCCCTCATATTGGTGATGGATCTTTTAAGACAGAACCATCATTAGGGCGGCTAACATCAGCTGTGCTTTGTTTTAGTGTTTGTTAACAAATGCTACTATGACAAACCAGCCTGCTGTCACAAACTCACAATGATAAGCTGTCCAAATGTGAGGATTGCTGGTCCAATCCTGATCAGGGTGTTGATGATTGTACGAAACCTAGCAAGAAAATAGACCTCACTGTTAGTAAAGCAACATGCTCATGGCTTCCTACTGTGACATCCATTTTTCATTTGATGCATCTAAGGATTACTGCAGGATCACCACAAATACAGATGATTTTTATACAAGGATAAATAAAGGAATAAGAAATGTAGTTAAACCTTTTGATGCTGTCCACCACCCGTATCAGTCTGAGGACTCGTAGAATGAAAACAATGTCCAAGATTTGTCGGCTGGAGAAATGACTCGCTATAATGCAAATGGAATTAACAAATTAATGAATTAACAAAGACCAATAGCTTGTATCATCCTGTGTTTTAAAATAGTTATTGTGATTGACAGTGACATGAACACTCAAAGTAAACATTCAAAGATGTATCTAAAATGTGAGTAATTAAGTTTTGTTGAATTGTACTATCAGCAGTTCAGAGACCAGAACAGCAGGAGCTTTAAAGGCTAACTCATGAAATCCTTTTTGGGGGGAAATTGAGCATTTATACTTTAGTATTTTAGAACTCAATTTTCAAAACTGTTAAAAAAAACAACAACAACAAAAAACAACAACAAACTTGTGAATTTTATATTCAAAGTTTTAATTTGTATTATATTAGTTAGTCTGCATTTTTTGTTTGTTTTGTTTGGTTAAAATTGTACTGCACAATTAATGTAGTTGTGTGGGGGGGTGACTACATTACACTTGATGACTCTACCATGGCGAAATTTGCCTTTATAGCTACACCGTGTAACTTGTTATTGTTGTAGTTGCATGTTTGTTTTCAGTTCAGTGATTTTCTGCCTCTGTTCCCCGACTCCATGCTGGTGTGTACATTCAAAGTGATGAAACAGATTGCATTAAACAAACAAACAAACAAAAAGTGATGTGCCAGCCAGATGTAAATTTGGCAAGGGTTAAGTTTGACCTTGATTGTGACCCTGTTGGAACAAAGCTTAACATTAATTAGAAACTCTTACATGACTTCATCACAGAGTTTACGATGGTGGCAACAAGAGCAGAGATGACAATGATTGTGTCAAACCTGAAGACAGAAAACAGAAATCAAAAAAAATTCAAACTTTAATTCAGGCAGAAATGCTATGAACGAGGATGCTGAAAACAAAACCCTTTTTTCTTATGGCGTCAGTCTGACACCACCAACGTGTCAAAAACACAAATATACCATGAATGTAAATAAAACGACCTTTTTTTCTCAGCATCAGTTAAGTGTGAGAAAATCTTCATGTTGTAAAAGAATCAAAAGATTTTATCTTTTGTATTCTTATCCAAGTATTTCCAATTTAAGGAACATTAAAACTAACAAGCACATGCAGGAGGCTGCAGAGTGTGGAAGCAAACAGAACAAGAAACCATTTGTGCCTAACAAGCAGCTTTCATTCATGGACTGGATCCAGGTCTAGCAATTCATCCAGAAAATATACAAACACAATGCTGAATATTTTTTTGACGGAAGTTATCGCAGCTACACTGCTCAGTAGCAAATGTAACACTACTGTAAAAAAGAAATGATAGCATAAGAAACAATGAAGACAAAACTATTCCAAAAGCTGCAGCAAGAAACCTTCAGAAGGATCAGAGCTTAAAACCCCAGTGGCAACTTTATTAGGTGCACCAAGACGGATCTAAAGACAAACCTATTGTCATTCTACACACACACAATAATATCATACCCAATAAAGTGGCCACTAAGTGCAAAAAGTCATGAAAATGAGGCAATTAACTGGCAAATACAGTGAGGAACATAAGTATTTGAACACCTTGCGATTTTGCAAGTTCTCCCACTTAGAAATCATGGAGGGCTTTGAAATTCACATTGTAGGTACATTCCCACTGTGAGAGACAGCACTTAGAAACAATTCAGGAAATCACATTGTATGATTTTTAAAGAACTTATTTGTATTGCACTGCTGCACATAAGTATTTGAACACCTGGCAATCAGCAAGAATTCCGGCTCTCAAAGACCTGTTGCTATGCCTTTAAAAAGTCCACCTCTACTCCACTTAATAATCTAAATTAGTAACACCTGTCTGAGCTCTTTAAAGACACCTGTCCACCCCACAGTCAGTCAGACTCCAACTACTACCATGGGCAAGACCAAAGAGCTGAAATGCTTATGTGCAACACAAATAAATTATTTAAAAGAAAAAAAACACAAAATGTGTTTTCCTGAATTGGTTTTTAAATGCTGTCTCTCACAGTGGTGCTACAATGTGAATTTCAAACCCCGCAATGATTTCTAATTGAGAGAACTTGAGTGGAGTGTTCAAATACCGATGTTCCTCACTGTAATATAAACTAAATTTAACTGAAAAAAGTTGGTTTTTTGTTTTGTTTTTTAAATAGAACATTTTTGTACATTGTACCATTTTACCATGTTTTGTTTTGAGCTTTTCTTTTCAGTTTAGTTGGGAGTGGATCTGCCTGCTTTAGGTTTATCAATTACATCAAAAACTAATATTTTCACTTTTTCTGATTAAACCAAACTGAAGTTCATTTGAAGTTCAGAAAAGGTCTACAAATGTGCGCGCATTTGTGGATTGAACTCAATGAAGGTGATTTTCAATATAGAAATGTCCCTTGTGTACAAAGACTTTTCAGTCTGTCCAATTCTTGTTGTTCTTAAATAACAAATTGTCACACTGTCCTTTACACACTATTCAAACACAATCAGATTTCCCAGTGTCATCACTTGAAGTTGTCTTTGTAGAATTTCTATTAAACTTTAAGATTTATATAACTTGCATAACCCAAGTAAGCCAGTTGCTGGTTTTTGTTATATATTATTATTTTTTGTTTTATTATTATATTTCTCATTATTGAGCACTTGTTTAGTTTTATCCTTTATCCTATGTTCGTCAACATATTTTGTTTTTATGTCTTGATGCATTCTCAATCATCCAGGAAAGTAAATCTCCAAAAGTTGATTCTGTTCATCTGGACGTAGCGTTTTGTGGGAGAAACGTTTCGTCACTCATCCAAGTGACTTCTTCAGTCTCAGCTGACTGCAGGTTCTCACCACAAACGCTACGTCCAGAACACAGAATCAACTTTTGGAGATATTTTGTTTTTACTTTTGACATTAAACTAAGCTCCATCATTAGGAAAAGTTCACTTCCCAAAGCTTAAAAGAGTAGATAAACAACCCGCTGAGCATCAGTGACTTGGTCGAAGCACTTGAAGGCGTATGAAGGTAAAAGAAGCAGCTGACAATGTAAAAGAAACATTAAATCATGTCACATACCTTGTACTTATAATCTGGGATGTAGATAAGCTGTGTGAAATTCATGCAACACAACTTGTTGATCTTAGATTTGATTCATTTAAATACTTCCATTACTTGTTATATTAACAAATACTCAAAAATACTATACACATATTTTAAGAAATTAAACATTTGACATAACACACAAATACAGTACATGTTAATTTATAAATGTCTACGTAAGGTTTTTGTGTATTAAGCAAGCAGACTTGGATTACACTGTTGGTTTTGATCTGCACAGTGGATTTTTTTTGTGTTTTAAACCATCTGCCTCACTGAAAAAGCTTGATCACACCCATGAATAGATGGTGCTGTGTAATGTCTGGATCTCTGATTCCACATGAACACCTGTTAAAATGTACCTTAAGCTGTCTGTAGATAAATCAGTACTGGGGATTCAGAATCTTTGGTGAGTAAAGACAAAGTGTCAAAAGCACATTAATGACATTATAATGTTATACACTTGTTCTCACGGCATGTTCTCACCAGTTCCAAAAACTGTGTTTGGAGAAGAACACTCTGGGCTCAAACACATACAGCTTCAGCAGAATCTCCAGAATATACAGAGCCAGAAAAACCCACTCTGAATTTGCAATCATTGGATTCTCCTCATCAAGACCGATGAAAACAGCATTCACCAGTATGATCAGGTCATATACCATAACAAAGGCCCTGGAAAAGAACACATATAGTTCTGTGTTTGTAACTACTTACATCAAAATCAGAGGAAAAAAAAGAAGGTTTCAAAGTTGAATTTGTATCTTACCGGTGTTGGACCAGCTGGCATAGGAGTTTGCTGGGGGCTGACTGGTAGAGGGAAGGGCACAAACTTTGAAGTGGATGAGGTCTTGACTTAATTGTTATTATTTCAATATTCAAGAGGTCAGCAAGCTGGACAAATGCCACCTTACCTGTAAAATAATCATCCTAGAATTGTAATCAAAAACGTTACAAAGATATAAAAACTTAAACTTAGGTCTATTTTAATTGAATCATCTAATGCAGGGGTCGGCAACCCTGGGCACGCGTGCCAGCTCACGCGAAGGGTTAACTCAGACCTTCCCAAAGTGTGGGGCCCGCCCCCTAGGGGGGGCGCAGAGCCATTGCAGGGGGGGGCGCGGCATGAAAAGGGGGAAAAAACAACACTTGGACACTGCTAGCATGAGGCGCCCACAAACACAAAGCAGGAGATGAAGCATCGCTGAATATGTTTCCAAACCAACTTCATTCTAAGCCAAAGACTAGAAAATATGGTGAAGCATATCTTCCCTTTGGTTTCACCTGCACAAGTGCCGAGGTAGGTCTCCCTGCAGAATTGGTTTTCCCTTCGTCGGGAGCACGCTGGGCTCTCAAATCACGGACAAACAGTATCCCACATTCTTGATTTTTAGTTCACAAACACTTGTTGTAATGACTAACTACTCCTGACATTTTGGAGATGTTAGCTCTTTATACAGTAAAGTTACAGCGGGATACAAATAATATCAGGCTGATCCTGCCACGATTTGTTCCCCCGGTTCAAATCACGGACAAACAGATCCCACAGCTGTTTATGTTTTTAAACCCATTTTGCACAGAGAGGCCACAGCGTGACGTGAAAAAAGGCACATACCTGGTTGCATGACGAACTCTGTATTCCTCGTCCACACGTAAACGCAAAAAATGAGTTTTAAAAAAAATCGCAGTTTTCGGTGATTCGAAACGCCGTTTACGTGTGACAGAAACAGCTGCGTTTTCAAAAATACCCGTGTAGGTGCGGACTAGCGTAAAAGAGTTAGTAGTTTATTTTCTTATACCTACTTATTGATTTAATAAATGTTTGAGGTGTGAAATAAACCGCAATTGAGCAAAATATGGGTGTGTGTGGTTGGAGGATGTGTTAGTGGTGTGTGTGTGGTGCGTGCGGGGGGGGCGCAAACATTTTTCTGTAAAACAAAGGGGGCCCAGCGAAAAAAGTTTGGGAACCACTGGGTTAACTGGTGGCACGACGGAGCCCCCCAGGGGACATGGGAGAAAAAAAAATTGAGGGAGGAAAAAAAAAAATTAAGACGGACTTTTGCGAGATCTCGCAAAAGTATTGCGAGCGCTCGCAAAAGTATTGCGAGATCTCGCAAAAGTATTGCGAGCGCTCGCAAAAGTATTGCGAGATCTCGCAAAACTCCAACAATGGCGGCAGCTACTTAGTTGTAATATTACTCTTTCTGGGTCACAAAATACACTTTTAAGATATTTTGAGGCGTGAATGTAGTTGTGTAAACGTCAGATACCTGCTCGGTTTACAAGACATCACATATTTGCAAAAGAGCTCCGAGGTTTTTGGAGATCTGACACCCACTAGCTCGAAGCTAACGGGAGGTCGAGACCTACTACAGCCGGGAGGAACACCGCTTTCCCGGCACATCGTGCCTCGACCTCCCGGTCGGCTTCGAGCTGGCGGCCTCCGAAGAATGCGGCTAAAACTTTTGCGAGATCTCGCAATACTTTTGCGAGCGCTCGCAATACTTATTGCGAGATCTCGCAATACTTTTGCGAGCTCGCAATACTTTTGCGAGATCTCGCAATACTTTTGCGAGATCTCGCAAAAGTCCGTCTTATTTTTTTTTTTCCTCCCTAATTTTTTTTTTTTTCCTCCCTAATTTTTTTTTTTTCCTCCCTAATTTTTTTTCTCCCATGTCCCCTGGGGGGCTCCGTAATAGCTGGGCCCGTGGGCCGATTGTGATTTTTCGTTTTTATGGGCTGATTTTTTGTTTTTTTTTCTTTTGTAACGGCTATAACAATGAGAAGTGGTGGTATTGGCCAGATGCTGGCCGATGTGTAAAAATAACTCAGTTGTTTGGTGGTGGCTATGGCGGAGCTTCCACAGAGGCCAGCAGGTGGATGAGGGAAAGGGGAGGCAGGAGGAGAGACCCGAGGCGGCCGCCGGTCCGAGTGTCAGGTGAACTGAACTTCAGGTAAGAAGTTATGACCTGCAGTCTATCTGGGTCAGATATAAACCAAGTTTAGGTGGAGTTTATTTTCGTTGTGCTGACTTTTTACAGTCAGTTACAATAACTCGTACTGCGTACTAGCTAGCATGACAGAGTTTCTATACAGCTGGGCGGGTGCTATGATGTTACTGATAGTGAACTTTATTTTATTCATAAGGTTAGTTAGTAGAGTTGCCAACCGTCCCTTAAAAATGGAATGGTCCCTCATTCAGAGAAAATATTACGCATTTCATATTGAGCTGAGAAGGAACACAGTTTGTCCCGGACTTCAGCTACAATGGAAAAAGACACAAAGCTGGAGTTATTCTGTGTTTTACGCTGCACAGCTGCCTCTTCTTCTCTCATTCTCCCCCCGCCTCTCCTGTTTGCTACTTCAATCATGAAACTGATCAATGATCAGCTGATCGTCTCTCTTGTTTGTTTATCGCCCACTTTGCGCCAGAAAGAGGAAACCAGCGGATGTCGCGCTAAACAACAGCAGCACGTTTAAGCTTGATCAGCTGTTGTTAGAATTTATTTAATATTAATTTCTAGTATCAGCTGATGTTTGCTGGAGCCACAGCTGTAAAGCTGCTGGTCATGATATGGTTTGGTTATCTGGTGAGAGGGAAACATGAAGATGAAACCAGGAGATGTCCTTACTGAATCATCAGAGCTGAACAGGTGATGGAGAAACAGGTTTACCTTTTAGGTGACATGAATGAGTTGAAGGGAAGTTATGAACTGTTTCTGAGAGACAAATAACACCAGGATCCTTTTCTAGTAGCTGACAGCTGGTAACTGTGCAGGGGCGGGTCTAGCAAAGTTTTGCCAGGGGGCCGGTAGGGCATTAACAGGGAAAGTGGCC